ACATTGTCGGGTCCAGTTTCTGATATCAGCATTTATAGAAGGCCAGAAAAATTTTTCAGCTATCATTTTTGTTGTGCCCCGAATGCTGGGATGAGACAACCCATGCGTAGCTTTAAAGATATGTAGCCGGTATTTCTGCGGAATGTAAGGACGAATTCGCCCAGTTGAAACTTCGCAATAAATTTTATCTGATATTGTTGGTAAAGATAAAAGTTTGATTTCGATGGAATTGTTGTTTTTGATATCTTGTAGTTGTGGGCAACATCGTTGTAATCCAATTATACAATCGTAGTCGATTTTTGGGATGCTAATACTATCTATCCGCGAGAGAAAATCTGCTGGGATGTTGTCTTTTCCGCTGACATGAACGATATTCGTTGTAAATTGACCTATATAATCAAGCTGTCGGACTTGACGTGGTGAAGCCTTGTCGGACTTTTGCTGGAATGCGAACGTGAGTGGCTTGTGGTCAGTTATTAATACGAATTCACGACCTTCTAACATATGTCGAAAATGTTTTATGCCCTGATATGCGGCTAACAACTCACGATCGTATGTGCTGTATCGTTTTTGTGTATCTGTTAATCGTTTAGAGAAAAAACCGAGTGGTTGGAACGTGCTGTTTGTCACTTGATGAAGAACTGCGCCGAGAGCTTTATCCGAGGCGTCTACTTGTAATGCAAGCGTAGCAGTTTTTGACGGATGAACAAGTAGTGTCGAGTTTGTTAGTTCATCTTTACATTTTTGGAAGATTGTTTTGTTCACTTCGGTCCAGCATAACGGTGTGTTGTCGTTCTTCTTGTTTCCTTTTATCATTTGTTGAAGTGCAGTTTGAGAATCTACAGCGTTTGGTACGAACCTGCGATAAAAGTTAAGTAATGCTAGAAATCTTCTTAATTCTTTTGTTTTTGTTGGAAGCGGGTACTCGCTGATGCTCTTCACTCGATCTGGTAGAGGTTGAATGCCCTTTTCACTGATGAGATAACCAAGAAATTTTACTGTGTTTTGAGCAAAAACGCATTTTGATACGTTTATTATTAAACCATGTTTTCTGAATCGTTCGAATACTTGTTGCAAGTGTTGCCTGTGCTCTTCCTCGTTTGCTGATGCAATAATGACGTCGTCAATATAGGCAAAGGCGAATTCGAGATCTCGTAATACTTCGTGAATGAAGCGTTGAAATGTTTGACCTGCATTGCAAAGTCCGAATGTCATGTTAGTAAGTTCAAATAATCCAAATGGAGTTATGATCGCCGTTTTTGGAATATCCCCCGGTTCAACTGGTATCTGGTGATATGCCTTAATCAGGTCGATGGTTGAAAAAACTTTTTGGTTATATAACATGTGTGCAAAATCATGTATGTGAGGAGCTGGGTAACGATCTGGGATGGTGATTGCATTTAAGCGACGGTAATCTCCGCAAGGTCTCCAACTACCGTCTGGTTTTTTTACCATATGTAAGGGGCTAGCCCAATTGCTGCTTGATGGACGGCATATTCCGGCTGTGACTAAGTTTTGGAATTCTTCTTTTGCTGCTGCTAGCTTGTCTGGAGGTAACCTACGTGGTTTCTCACATATTGGTGGACCTTTTGTTAATATGTGGTGAGTGACTTTGGTCACCTGGCGATTTGTCGGTGTTGGTTTAGTGATGTCGATTTATTCTTTTAGTAGATCTGCAATTTTGCAAGATGTGTTCACAGTTGATATTTTTTGCGCATTTACCTTACGTTCGCTTGCGGCTGAGAAAATCTTTGTTGATGTGTCGATCAATCGTTTCATTTTTATGTCTACTATTAATCCGAAATGATTTAAAAAATCTGCACCGATGATTGAAGTGTTTACATCTGCGATAATAAATGGCCATGTGAAATTTCTTCGTAAGGCAAGAGCTAGAGTTATCTCTATTTCTCCAAATGTTTTGATCATAGAACCATTTGCTGCGTAGAGTATTCTTTCGTTCTTATTGTTTGTATTTGAATTTTTTTGTTTGGCGGCAATAAGTGAAACATCTGCACCCGTGTCTATTAGGAATGATTTTTTTGTCTTATTGTCATAGACGAACAGTCTTGTAGATGTTTCGTTTACAACTTCCTCTGCCGCCGTAGACGAAGTCGGTTTTAGTTTTTTGTGCCATATGTGCATGGCTGCTTGCAATTTTTTGCATTTGACCCATATGTTCTATGATACCAACAATTTGTACTGGTCTTTTCTTCACTATCATCATGACATTGCCGGTTTCTGGATGTTGAACGTGAACGTTGATTTGTTCTTGAGCGGTGTTCGGTTGATAATTTCGAGACCATTTTCGTCAGTCTGGTCACTTCTCGTTGAAGTTGTTCGATTTGTGCATCACGTTGAATATGAGCTGCTGCAGGGACGTTAGCTGCATTGACGTAAGTTCCTTGCATTGTTGAGTTTATACTTATTGTTTCGGTTATGTTGTCTGCCAATTCCGCCATCTTAGGTAGTTCCACTTGAATTGTGGCTAGACATGTCTGTACTTCTACAGGAAGACGTTGTAACCATAACCCTTTCAGTAATTGTTCGTCTTGTTTGCTTCCACTAATACGTTGCAATTCGCTTAAAAGATGGGATGGCTTTTTATCCCCAAGCTGTAAACCACTAACTAATTTTTGTACGCGTTTTTGTTCACTATCCGCAAAGTTTTTTATTATTGCTTGCTTGATAGCTTCGTACTTCTGAGTTGCTGGTGGATTCTGTATTGTGTTATAAATTTGTTCTAACAGCGATGCATCCAATGCTGCGATAACTGTGCCAAACTTTTGAGTATCGCCCTTTATGTTGTTGACTTGGAACCAGTAGTCCAACTGAATAAACCAAAGGTCAATGTTGTTTTTTATTAATGTTGGCATCGGCAGCTTTATTGCAGTGATTGTTGCGTTTTCATTGATTGGGTTAGTGTCTTCGGTTATCTTTTGCTCTTGAGTAGCCATTTTTTTTTATATATTCGACGTCGGCTTGGTCACCAATGTAGTGGTTTTTTATGTTGGGGTTTATTTCGAATTTAACACTCCGTATTGGTAATGGATAAGTTAATTTAACACTCCGTATTGGTAATGGATAAGTTTATTTATTTCTTATACTTAGTTATTATAAAATATTCTTAAAGTTAAGATTTATGTTTTTACGTCTTATTCACGTGGTGCTTTTTCTTTTTCCAAACTACTACTGGCGGGAACTGCGGGTATTGTTGTCTCCTTTGTGCCTTGTTGACAGTTCTTTTATTTATATTTTTTGGTGCTGCCACAACGCCTTCACCAACACGTTTTACTGTTTACTGTTTATCACAGGTTGTGCATAATTTTCTCCTTACAAGTTATCTAACTTTGATTCAAAATATGTAAAATTAACTCTCATCGGAGAAAATAACTCATTTTCAGAACTTTATGGGTTTATTTATATGCTTTCTTGCAAAGCTTAATCATTTTATTCTATTATATCTGGATATGTATGGCTTCTTTCCTGCAATCAGGGTATAATACATGCATTTCTTCAAAATTTTCAGCAGAGTTTTAGGACATATTTTGTTTTCAAGTATTTCGGCAATATGTTCAGCTAGTTTGAAGGCTGTTACTCTTGCATTTACTTTCACCTGGTTGATTATGCTACGTCTTTCTCTATTTGACAAAATTTAGGGGCGGCGAGTGCGAGGTTTAGAAACGTAAGTACTGGTCTCTTTGAAGTTATTTGTAATTCTCTGCACAGATGAATATTGACGACCAATATGTTCAGCAATTTTTCTTTGGCTTACGTCATCTTTCTAAAATTTAACAGTTATTTGTCGCGCACTAAAACTAATTTCACGTCTTTTATTTTATATTGTAAAAATTTATTGCTTATATAAAAAAATATTATTAAATGATTAATTTTTAGACTCTTTAGAAAGTCAACTAATAATTAAATATCATTTAATGACACTTTTATGCTTGCAAGCGAATTTAAATTAGCGGTAAATGTAAATATTAAGAAATATCCGTAGACTTTTTCTACTTCCAAAATTGCTACTTTTGCATATAATTGTGTTTAATTTTTTTTTAAAGAATAACTGTTTAGTTTTTATATTGGAACTTTATTGTTGTTTCCTTGGTTAAAATAAATCAGGAAATAAAAATGAATTTGAGTAAAAATTAAAAAAGTTATGCGTAATTTTAGAAAAATTATGTGAATATCCGTAGACTTTTTCTACTATGTGTATATAGAAGAAATATACATTAAAATAGCAGCTGAATTTTTTTACATAATTTTTATATTATTTATTTAGACACATGTGTAAAAATTTAATCACTTTCTGTATTAAAGCCGAAATATTAAACGTGACAATAGCCAAACTTCAACAAACTTTAGTTTAGGTTTCCTTCGCCTAAACGGCACGCATCATATAATAGTATAGTAATTGACAACATATCCTATTTAACAGGTTTTTATTTCTTTACAAAATGCTTGCTTACAGCTGTTTGTGTTCGTACTGTATCTTCGTTTTAATTTTTTTTTTCACATGTTGTAAATGTGTTCAATGGCTAATTTACTGAATTGTTATTGTTTTATATGTTTCTTGATTAGATTTTTGTTTCCTAAAACACTGTTAATAATAAATTTAAATGATAATTATGTGTGCTGAAGTAATAACTCTCTTCCAAGAGTAAATGCTTGTATTTAGAGTAGCTGAGCATTTCATATGTTGAAAAATTTTCTTTGACTCACATTAAAGTGTATATTCTATAGTAATGTTCTTTGGTTTTGACACATAAATTTGTTTTTTCCAAAGAATATCTTTCAATTACATGTAAGATATTTTTTAACATTTTGTTAACAAAAAAATTTTAATTATTATGGTAAAGCACTAAAAGTATTTGGTTTAGAAGAAAATAATATGCTTAAAAACACACAGAAAATATAGATTTTTACATGCAATTGATTTTTTTTGACTATTTTTATTATATTAACAAAATGTATAAACAAATTAACATATGTAGAATGACATATCACTTTATAACAGACCTGTCTTTCAAATTACAGCTGATAAGCATGCAATGAAGCTGAAAATAAACTGCGGCTAAAATTGTTTTGGATATTTTGTATTAAAATTGTAAAAACATGTCAGCGGTTAAACGTGTTCAGGTTAGTAGATATATTAGGAATGTAATGATTATCAGTTCTTATTAATTAAATTGTATTTTTTATAATTTATAGCAATGGGCAACATTTGCTCGCTCTTGGCACATTTACGACTGCACCTGGCAAAACCCTTTCGAATCGGCAAAAGCTATAAAAACGCATTTGATGGGACTCCATAAACCTATTTACCATCCATTGAGTAAGTTAACCAATAAATATATATAAGTTACATCTTACCATTTGTTTAAGCGCAAACGTTACGTCATGTGTTAAGTTGTGATAAAAACAACAAAAGTGTAATTGGTAAAAATTTTAGTTGTGATTAAATAACAAAATGTTCACGTACAAAATCAAATAAAACGCTTGGTAAATACAAATTTGATTAAGGATTATTCATTAGTTTTAATATTAAGTTTTTCATTTTAAACTTTGAATAAATTTCATTTACAATTTTGTTTTTCTTGCAGATGATTGTGGTGATCATGTGGTAGTAATTAACACAAAAGAAATTGCACTTCCTGGAGACGAGTGGGTGAAGCGTGTATACTTTCACCATACAGGCTATCCTGGTGGCGCGTCGTGGACACTAGCTTGGCAACTGCATGAAAAAGACCCTACAATGGTGCTGAAAAAAGCCGTGTACAACGCTATGACTGGAAATCTTCAACGACGCTACACAATGCAACGGTTGCATCTTTTTGCTGATGACAAAGTTCCTGAAAACATTTTGGCAAACATTACAAATCAAATTAGAGCACCTAGAAAGGTACCACAACGTCTAGATCATATTGATAAAGAACAACTGGATAATTTCCCAGCGATTGTGGATTACCCTAAAGATTATATTATTCGTTAGTTTTTATAGCTGATATAATTTTTGCTAAGATATAGTAAGTTCAGTTAAAAATAAATATTAAAAAATTTTTTTCTAAATATTGTTTTCTATATTTGATTTTCAATAAATTTGTTATTAATTTTTACAACAAAATAGTACTGATGCATTTCAAAAGAAGTCTGTTTGGTACAATGAAATGCGATGTGTAATTTTTGAGATTGAGTTCTGTATTAGATATGTTGTCATATGAAGTACCATTCAAAACCATAACAATGTTAATAATGTAATAATGCATAACAAGCTAAAATGTGAAATAAAAGCTTTATACATGATTATAGTGCTAACCTGCGTACGTAAAAGGGAGCAGCATGTATCTCCCACTTGGTTATTAACTTCATGTTTATTAAATTAGAAATGTTTTTTTACTTTTATAAAATTTAAGTAAACACTTACTTCTGTTTTGTGTTCCCGTATCTAAAAGCTAATCTGCAGAAAGTCGTACTAATCATACTATAAAAGTATGTTGTCCATTTTAAGTCCACATTTTGATGAATGATAAGTTATTTGGTTCAAGTTAGATTAAAAACTGCTGAACCTAAGTGATAATCCTTGTTATAACATGTACAATATTCTATTGATATTATTACGAAATATAAAATAAATATTCATAATTATAATTATTATAACATTATAACTAAAAACAGAAACACATATAATTTAAAAACGTTTCCTTAACAAAATAGTCAGTAGAAATAAACACATTTGCTTTATTGGACGTTTACTTGGAAATCTTTTCGCACTATATGCGTACTAGTCATACTGACGTCAGAGAGGAAATTTGACTTTAATAATAATGTCTACAAAAACGAATAATATTGAAATTAAAAAAAAAAATTAAATTAAATTAACAATTAAGAAAAACAATTTATAATTAATGAAGGTTATGAAATTCGATATAAAGACTAAATTAGAAACGACGGACACCGTTTAACTTTTATGTTTAATTATCATGTAGAGCTTTAATGGAGGCTGGGCTTTCGTTAAATATTTCTCCATCAATTTAAATCTTGTTTGTATTAAGTTTCCAAAGAAGGATTTATACGTAAGACAGAATAATATAGAATGACGCAATTAGTGCATCAAAAAACTGATTAATTAATTCAATCATTCTTCAATATAATTATGGTTTTATTCTAATATACCACAGTAAGTGAATTTGTTTATGAACTTTCATATTCCAATTAACAAAAGTCTAAAGCAGAACATACAAGTCAAGTACAGCTTTGGGTCAGTTGGCCAATTAGCACTGACTCTAAGCTTCAAATCTGGTAGGGTACAAGTCTAGCTCATGATACTTGCAGTCCGAGGGTTGAAAAACTTACAAATAATTAAATATAAAAAGTATTCACAAAAAGACCACTGATTTGACAGTACTTCAAACAGCTGTGTGGTCAGTCAAAAATTAAATTAATTAAAAAAGAAGACTTTTATTGTTGTATAGTAATTTACAACTATTCAAAAAACCTTTCTTTTAAAAATCTAACTATAGTTCAAAAAAACCTTTCTATTAAAAAATATTTTCTATTATAAAATATTTTATATTAAAAAAATATTTTCTATTAAAAATATTTTCCTTTAAACAGATTTTCATTTAAAAAAGATTTTCTATTTAAAAATATTTTCTATTAAAAGATGTGTTCTTTTAAAAGCATTTTCTATTTAATAATATTTTCTATTAAACATTATTTTCTATTAAAAAAATAAAATAAAGATATTTTCTATTAATATATAATTTCTATTAAAAACATTTTCTATTAAAAAATATTTTATATTGAAAAGTATTTTCTCTCAAAAAATATTTTCTTTTAAAAAAAATTTTCTATAAAAAAATAATTTCTATTGAAATATATTTTCTTTTAAAATCATTTTCTATTAAAAATATTTTCTTTTGAAAAATAATTTCTATTAAAAAGTATTTCTTATTAAAAAATATTTTCTGTTGAAAAAGTATTTTTTATTAAAACATATTTTCTATTAAAAAAACATATGTTCTATTTCTATTAAAATTTTATTATATCTAATAAAAGCATTGCCTATTAAAAAGGATTTTTCATTAAAAAAATATTTTCTTTTAATTTTTTTCTTTAAAAAATATTTTCTATTAAATATTTTTCAATATTTTTAAATATTTTCTATTAAAAAATATTTACCATTAAAAAGTATTTTCTATTAAAATATATTATCTATTGAACAATATTTTCTATACAAAAGTATTTTCTATTAAAAAGTATTTACCATTAAAAAATATTTTTTATAAAAAAATATTTTCCTTTAAAAAATTTCTATTAATCAAATAGTTTCTTTGGTTATAATTGATTTTTAAAAATTAACTTAATATATTCTTTATCTCTCTTTTACTTAAAACGTATACGAAGAGATCTATTTACTTCAAACGAAAAGATAAAAAAAAAACGATTTTTTTTCAATTTAAAATTATTTGAAAGTCGCGGCGCCATCTGTGAGTAATTGTTTTCGCTGTGCAGCGAAATATGGACTCTTCGTATTGTAGAAAGTAGAAAAATTGTGTTGTCATTGTAAGTTTGACAATTGTGGTATTGACGAGAAGCGGTTTTGTTGCTTTCCATATTATTAAAATGTAAATTTATTTATAAGTCGTTGTAATATTAAAGCAAAACATGCAGAGCATTTTATACAAATTGTGTATATGCTATCACATGTCCACTTCAGTGCTATCTTTCAGAGAAGTCGTAAACTCGCGATAAGACAAATCAACCATTAATATTAGATTAACAAAATGAAATAATTTTAAATTTCAGTTTCTTTTAGCTCCTTCTGCGGTCAACGCACTACACAAAAGTCAAAAGCCATATCAATTCATAATCAAAAACGCAGCATGGGACGTTTGGGAAAAGTTGATCCAAGCTCGTATTCCGAACCTAATCGCATAACGACTGTCCACAGCTCATTGAAATGGATAGTCGACTTTCAAAATACAAAACTGCATGGCTCAGTTACGCACCGTTTTAATGTATTAGAAAATAATTTACCAGCTATTGTAAGTAAAGAATGTGTGAGTTAAATACTTTTATACAAAAAAAAAATATTCACTTACAGCTTTTGGATGTGCGGAATGTTACTATAAAAGATGTAGTAATTTTGTGTGATAATAAATCTATTCCTATCAACCATTTTGTATCTGATCCAGTAGACGATATTGGAGCTAAACTAACACTCGAATTACCGCAAGGAACAGATAAGGGCGAGTAAGTACAAGCAAATTTATGTCAATTAATTGTTGCCAGGTATAGTTTTGCTTGCTTATCTTTGAGATACACTTAAACAAATGAATTTATACTGCTGTGCTATATTATTTTGATTTAATTTATTACCTTTCACAGTTTATTCGTTCAAATTGATTATGAGACATCAAGTACTGCCAGCGGATTGCAATGGCTTACTCCAGAACAAACACTTGGCAAAAAGCACCCCTACATGTTTAGTCAATGTCAAGCAATTCATGCACGTTCTATACTACCATGTCAGGATACGCCTGCTGTTAAATTTACATACGATGCACTAATTGAACATCCTACAGAGTTAACAACTCTGATGAGTGCCTTAGTTCAAGATAAAAAAGAGGGCAAAACTTCATTTAAGCAAGATGTACCCATTCCGGCTTATCTACTAGCAATAGCGATTGGAAAGTTAGTATCTCGGCCTTTAGGGCCCAACTCGAATGTATGGGCTGAAGAGGATATTATTGCAGAATCTGCTGAGGAATTTTCACAAACACTGCAAATGTTGAAAACAGCTTCAGATATATGTGGTCCTTATGTGTGGAAGCAGTATGATCTTTTAGTGATGCCACCATCCTTTCCATTTGGAGGTATGGAAAATCCTTGTTTGACATTTGTCACGCCTACTATCATATCAGGTGATAAATCTCTTGCTGATGTGGTTGCGCATGAAATCGCCCACAGTTGGACTGGAAATTTGGTCACAAATAAAAACTTCGAGCATTTCTGGCTCAATGAAGGATTTACTGTCTTTGTTGAAACCAAAATTGTAGGTCGTATGCAAGGTAGAAGAGAACAAGATTTCCATATGATGCGTAACCTAACTGAGTTAAAGGAATGTGTAAGTGCATTTAATAAATAACTAACAATACATAAGAGTATAATATGAATATATCTTATACATAATAGATTAGAACACAATTGGCAAATAGTCTGGAACTAACTAAACTGGTTGTTGACTTATCCAACTGCGGGCCAGATGATGCATTTTCAAGCGTTCCTTATGTCAAAGGATCTACATTTTTGCGTTATGTTGAAGATTTGGTTGGAGGCCCTGAAGTATTTGAACCATTCTTACGTTCATATTTACAAAAATATGCCTACAAATCAGTGGTAACAGACGATTTCAAATCAAGCTTATATGACTACTTTTCTACAACCGATAAAAAAGACAAGCTTAACGAAATTGATTGGAATTTGTGGATGAATCACGAGGGTATGCCGCCTATAATTCCTAAGTAAGAAATTTAAAATCAGCGAAGTCCATATTTTCTTTATTAATTTCCACTGTTTTTTTTTTATTAGATTTGATGACACATTAGCGAATATCTCGAAAGATCTGGCCTTGCTGTGGAGTTCTAAGGATATAAAAGAATTGGAGAATAATGAAACCATTAAGCAAAAAATATCCTCACATCAGCTTATTGATTTCCTGGGTAAACTGATTGAATGCGAAGAAATTGTTAACCTTAATGAAAAGAAAATCGAACTCCTTGAGAGCACATACAATTTAAAAAATAGTAAAAATTCAGAAGTTCAATTCCGTTTGATGCGCCTTTGTATTAGAGCAAAATTAATGGATCGTATAAATGATATTATTGCATTTGCTAATTCGAATTTCCGTATGAAGTTTTGTCGGCCAATTTACCGTGATTTAGGAAAGTGGCCAGAAGCTAAGCCAATTGCGATCACGAATTTCGAACGCGTTAAAGATCAAATGATGGCAGTATGCTCCCATACAATAGCAAAAGATCTTGGGTTGAAGTAGTTAAACAGCATATCAAGAAAAACTTCCATGAATTGTTAAAAAATTATATTTGTTATTTTATCGTTTACTATTAATTAGTATGAATTAAATTCATATTGATATATACACATTATAATATATATGACACACTTTTAAATTTATGGAAAATATTTTTTTCTGATATATTATTGAATAATTGTAGTCTATAGAGCATATACTATACATAAAATCGATATGTGTGAAAAACAGATCCTATGATCTGTTGATATATTCGTATCTGCGTTGGTTTTTATGGTGTGATGACATAGATCTATGTCATACGACTTTGTACAATATAAATATATGTATTAAATTCAGATCCCGGTAATAGTCTTACTCAATGTGTGTATCAATTTTCAATGGGGCAAAAGTGTAGTAACAAGCGTTTTTGCTATACGACTTCGTACAATTACCCGCTATATTACTCAACGTATGTCAATATATATAAAAATTTTCTGAAAGATGTACAAAGGCGAATGAAACTATCATATGTAATATCCGTAAAAATTACATTCATACGTAATTAAGAAATTACACTAACAACTTTTATAGTTCAAAAAAAGTTCAACCAAAAGTTTTTATATTGACCTTTCTCGTACACTATAAAGATTATTAAAAAAACCTTAATAGTTAAAAAGAATAAAAAGGGAGCATCACAAGCTTAAAACTACAATATATTTTATGTTAATATGTTAGTTGGAATCATTAGTCTTTTCGGATTCATGATCAAATTTGATTGTTAATGTATGATTTATATTGAAATCGGTTTGTTGTCGTTATTATAGCACGATTGGGTATGGTAAGCGACGTTAGATTGTCGAAACAAAAGAGTGGTTTAGGGATGTGGGCGAGACCGCTTCTAAAATTGATATGAAATGAATTACAAAATACGAATATATACGAAAATACGAATATATATATATTGGGTGAAAGGTAAGTGAGAAGAAGAAGGATTGTTTGGAATGAAAAATGGATCACGGACGGAATGCACTAAATTAAACTAGCCTGATTCGACACGGAGAAAATTTAAAACTCAAATGGGGCTGAAATAGATGTACGTGTTGGGATGCGGGGCCAGATAGTGGAGCTGCATTTAAGACACAACTTGGGAGTTAACGCATTAATGTGTGACAAGTAACTGCTTATCACTTAGTTATATCTTAATTTTATTTAAGCTAAAACAATTTTTGTTGCATAAGGAAGACGTCGTTCTTTCTTAAACTTATCAAACAGAACCCATTAGAGATTTTTTTTTTGTGCTATGCAGCCATGATTTCGAAGGGGATATTCTATAATGTATAAAACGCTATTACCTCACGTTTATGTTTAAATTTACTAATGTTAACTATTTGCAATATAGGCATCGATGTAATCATCATACAAAGAAAGGGATGGACAGATGACATTGACTAAATGTTCTTTTGCGTATTGGTCTTGAACGAGCATTAAAATAAAGGAGGCAGACCATATGTGCCACTACAAAAGTGAATGCAATATATAGTCTGGTTTTTATGTTAGAAAGAAATTCTTTTTATTTTAATTTAAATGATAAATGTGTTCTAGATAAATTTAATGTCTTATTTAACAACTATTTTAGCTAGTATAAAGGTAATAAAGGTCATTAACTAGTCTGTCATTGAAAAATATTTGTCGTCTGAACAAGAACTAAAAAAAACACAGATGTCAGCTTTTTAATGTTTGTTATAAAAGATCTTCTAACTGGTGTAACCGGGACGCAGATATTTCCGTTCCTGGCTAATACAAAAAAATAAAGAGTTTAGCTTTACCGAGTATTCTCTCCTATAGCTGACATCTAAATTCTATAATAGAAGATACATTGAAAAATAAAAATGTTCTAAGAAAATTACGTTTCAAAATCAACGTTTTATATATGAGCTATACCTTAATCTAAACCGATCAGCACTGCTTGTGTTCTATACATTATGCTTGAGTTCTAAATTTCGAAAAATTGCATACAACTGATGAATATATCGTACACCCTCTTCAAAAGAGGGACAACTCGAAATTCGTCAATTTTCAGACGAATTTATATCCATTTTTTTGTCATTCCTAACAAAAAAATGGATATAACTGTTGTTTTCGACAATTTGCAATAATAAAAAAAAAGTGGAGTTTTGCATATTGGTAGACAGGTAAACTATAAGCAAGCTCCAAACATCAACTCAATATTGACGAATTTCGGGTTGTACCTCTTTTGAACCACTAATATATGTATATAGTAAGCTATCTCTAAATCTGAACCGATATGACCGATATAGATTTCATGTAATAAAAATCTGAACATTCTATTACATGAATATACAATATACATATTCTGTACGAAATTCTATTAGAAAATCTTTATATAGAAAGGAAGAAAAATAATATCCGATTGTTAAATTCATATCACAACTTAACTAAATCTGACTACTATAGTCCGAAATACGTAGGTGTAAAATTTCATTCGAATAGCTCAAAAACTAAGGAATTAGTTTAAACTGGAAGAGAAATACGGACAGACGGACAGGGGTAAGTGAACTCAACTTGTCAGATGAAGAAAATATATATATATATACTTAACAGCGTCATCGTCTTTAACACATTACAAAAATCTTGATTAAACTATTATACCCTCTTCACACTTTCTTGTGTAAATAGTATTAAAAATAACAAAATATTTTATAATTATTTGTAAAAAAAAGAATTTCTGTTTATTTTATTTATTTTAACTAGTGACCAAAAATAACCGTTATTTCAAAAAGAAAAAAAAAACAGCAAAAAATAGTTGTCTAAACTCATATTCAAATATATAGTTATAATTTCAACAACTCTCATTCTTAATATTAAGTATGCTTTTTATATATGAGCATTTTAAAATAAATATCAAAAAATAATAATTAAATTTATATACTTTATATTGTATTTATCAAAAATAATTATTATCTTATCGCTTTTATTTTTCCACGCGCAAATAACTTCTATACTTTGTATTTTATTTTAAAACGCAAAAATAACTATTATTTTTTCCTTAAAAATATAAAAATCAAAAATAACTTTTATTTCGGAAAACAAAATATAACTCACACGGCGTGTCTGATATTTTTAAAAACGAAATAGATAAAGATAAAGATTTGGTTGAGTTTTTTGTTTTTATACACAAAACAGTACATAAATATATTATTGAGTTATATTTTGTTTTCAAAAAAAAAAATATTTTATTTTTGGGACAAAAATAACAGTTATTTGTGCGTTTTAAAATAAAAATCAGAGTGTAGAAGTTATTTGCGCGTGAAGAAAAAGGCACATAATAATAATTATTTTTGAAAAATATAATATAAAGCAAATTCAATTATTATTTTTTGACTTTTATTTCAAAATGCGAATGATAACAGTTATAAGATGAATTTTATTTTTTTAATGATAATTGTTACGGTCCCTGATTTTAACAATTATTTCACTGGAATTGTTTATAACAAACAGGCAAAAAATTATAATGAAATATTGAAACAAATTCATCTTTAATAATATCAATTTATACTATTATTATTTTGTTATATCATTATTTTTACACTCATAAAATTGTAAAATTTAAGACTAAGAGAGGTTTTTCGGAAATTGTGAGGCCAATAACATATTTCGGGCTTTGAACCGAAATTACCTTCTGCTCAAAAAGTATTTTGTTGTTTGTTAACTACTCCTTAAGTAATAGACCATTTTCAAAAATTTTTCTTATGTTATGTTAGTACACCCTTTCTCGAAATATGGTACAAATTTGAGCGCCATCTGTCAGTTAGTTTGTTTACAGCAACTGTTAATGTGAGACTACCTCAAGTGCATTTAGCGATTTTTGCTATGGAAAATTCTTGTTGTACGCGATTTTTTAACCAAACACGGCACCACCACCATATTCTCCAGATCTGTATCCGTGTGACTTTTTTCTGTTCCCGAAACTCAACTTGCCCCTACGTGGTAAGTGTTTTGAGACGATTGAATCGGTACAAGAGAATTCGCTAAAGGAACTAAAAGCCATACCTGAACGGGCCTACGAAAAGTGTATGGAAGATTAGGTTAAGCGTTGGTATATGTATATCGCTTCAGAAGGAGCATATTTCGAAGGAAATAAAAAAAATTTGGAATAAAATTTAAGTTTGTGTGTTTAATTTACAAAATCCATTCCTTTAACAAAGGTGTCAGTGTGAACACCATTTTTCGTTTAAAATCAGTGAACATGTTTTATGCGTTGGTGTGAACAGCACTTTAAAATGAAGAATTCCGACAATGAACATTTTATTTTTTTCAAAATGAAAACAATAGTGATTATATACAAACCTTATCCATATATAGGAGTAAACTTTGAATTCAGAAATAAATGTTTGATTTTAAAAACATCTTACAAAAGTAAAATACAATTTAATGTGCTATTATTAAATAATATAAAATTATATTTGAAGTAGTTATAGTTATGATCTTGAAACTTAAAAACGTTGGCTATATTTCAGTTTAAAGATTAATATATTGTATTCCTATTCTACACAAATTTTACATAAAAATCATATTAAAAGGTAATACTAACTTACACGATATTTCATTTTTATTAGGTCATAATCTTAAATGTATTTAATATAAACACTATAATGATACCAAAAACATACATAAATGACAAATACGAGTATTATATATCTATATATATACAATGTTAGACTATATTCTACATTTAAAAGAAACAAAGTATACCATAACACCCAGTTAGTTTAACTCAAATTATTCCATTAAAGTGAACAATATGTATATATGCTTATTGTTACTAAATAACATTTTTATTGAAAGTGTTAATTGCAAACAAAGAAACCTTTCATTATGTATAAAATAAAAGAGAATATTCTATTATATATAATTATATTCGAAGCAAATCTGCTCAGATGTATATGTTCTAACATAATTTCTATGCATGTCTTGTAAATTGTGTATTGAATTCAGGCCTTGATTAGTTTACATTTTACCATGCGTTGCTTCTCGAGTTTAGTCATAGACGGTGCATTTCACCTTCCATTGTTGCCTGAAAGTAGTGGATTTATACAAAAAAAAAAATAATAGTTATAATAAAAAATGTTGTAAAAAAAAATTATTAAAAACATCTATTTATTAATAAACTTTTCCATTTTTTTTTAGTTAACAATTATATTGATTTTCTTGTATAGCATAGGCTTATTCATTCTGTGGTTCTAAAAATAAACGTATATGAAATATATTCGTAATTAAGACTTTACGAACTTTTTATTTTAATATACTGTTTGGATCTAGTCATTAGATATGATGTACTACATCATTCGAATATTCTCCACGGAACATCTTACAGTACTGGACCTACTGGATCTACTATATTTTTTGTTTACAATTAACTGTATATCTGTATTGAATGTATATACATTAAGACCGAAAAGTTTTCGGAAATTTTCATTTAAAATTCGCGCGCTGTATATTTTTCGATATTTTAAGTTTATGTAGTTTGGCAGCAATTAAGGACAATTACTATGCCAAAAATGAGCGCGATCTGTCAGACAGTTCGTTTACGGCAGCTGTTGAAACCAGTTCACCTCAGTAGTGCGTTGCGAAAAAAACAATGGAAAAAAATATTGAACAAAGAGTTTGCATCAAATTTTGTGTTTCGAACGAAATTTCGTGTGCAGAATCGTTGCGAATGCTACAAAAAGGCTTATGGGGAATCAGTTTTATCGAAAACTCAAGTTTATGAGTGGTACAAAGCCTTTCAGGACGGTCGTACGGCCGTCGAAGACATTTCGCAACGCACTACTGAGGTGAACTGGTTTCAACAGCTGCCGTAAACGAACTGTCTGACAGATCGCGCTCATTTTTGGCATAGTAATTAAGGACAGTGCTGCCAAACTACATAAACTTAAAATATCGAAAAATATACAGCGCGCGAATTTTAAATGAGAATTTCCGAAAACTTTTCAGTCTTAATGTAGGTATCGATATATGTTACACATATTATATTTTTATATTATTATATATTATACTTTATATGTTATATATTATATGTTATACATTATGTTTTATATATTGTATATTATTACATACATATATATTATATATCATATCATATCATATCATAACTACAACATAAATAATAAAAAACAAAAATAATTCTTAATAAATTAAAAATTATTTGAATATTAATTGATATTAATAGATATCATATGCATTATATTTATTATATTTACCATATACATTATATATAATATATATTTCGTTTTGTATATAAATATATTTTTAAGCGAATTTTGACGGTATTATACGATGCTTTGTCGGTACGTACTTGACTAATATTTTCATATTTTTAAGCGTCGACAGTTTAAAAATTGTTCGCATAAAAACAATCCTTCATTTAACCTCACAAGACTACAAATTCAATTAAAACAAGTCTCTTGATCTTGATATTTAATTCAGATCATCAAATGATGAAATTTTATGTCCAAGAAATCTCTCTAGAACAAAGCCAAAATAGTACGCATTGAGTGGTTTGTGGCATGTCTATATTTAATATATATCTTCAATTTCACGAAAAAAAACTTTTTGTGATCTGGTGGCGGTAGTGATAAATATCATGGTTTCGTTATTTTCAAAAAAGTACGGGCCTATTACACCTTTATGCCAAAGACCGCATTATGTACCGACTTTTTGTGAATGCAATATAATTATTTATTGTATAATAATTACTTGTGAAAGCTTTAATCAAGATGCAAAATTCGACAATTTTGTTTATTGACATATTCACTAAGCAAGACCGATTTGCATTATCAAACATTCTGCTATGGGAAAAATTGGTGACCAACCATTTTTTTATAGCAAGTTTTCACAATTTTAGATTTCATTCCTAATTATTTTTTCATTTTACGTGATTTTTAAACGATCCATATAGGAACATATGATGCTTTGGATGAGAGTTTTATGCGACATATTCACTGAAGCGATGACCTCAAATCAGGATCACGATATGAGTAATCCTATGGATTTATACTAGGTAATTACAAAATGTTCATTATTAAAAAATTAAATACTCTCTCCACGGTTACTTTCTAGTCAGAGTTATATCTATGAATTTGTACTAGGCGATTTCAAAATGTTCAATATTAAAAAATAAATACACTCTGAACGGTTACTTTCTAGTCAGAGAAATAGCCAATCAAAAGCTATTGATAATTAAAAACGAAAAACGAATCTTAAAAAGCTTAAAAGCTTAAAAATCGAACAGTGAGAACAATATATAAAAAGCAAATATAGTATCTACTTGACAGGGAACCAACTAATATTAATACTGAAACTTTATTAAAATAATTTTTAATTTGTAATTGACAATATAAGGGCTACCAAATATTAAAAATTTAAGAAACATGTTACTTAGACGATCATTTGATCTTCGATCGCAAAACATTTTAACTACCTTTTATTTGCTCTTCAAATTTTTGATGCAAGTATGTAATGAAGAGGGTCACTGGATCGTTAATATATTTATTTATAGTTCATTATTATAATTAATAATTATAATAATTATTATAATTAATAATTATAATAATTATTATAATTAATAATTATAATAACATTTTAATTTTATTATAAGAATATATAATTATTATAACATTATATTTAATAATTATAATAATATTATAGTTAATTTTTCTTTATTATTATTATTGTCATTAATTAATTATTATAATTAAATAATATTAAATGATTTTAATTATAATTTATTAGTATTAGTTTTATATTGTAATAAATTATAATTATTTAGTTAAAGGTATATATTCTTTGAAGAGAATACCTACCAATTTTAAAAACTTTATCTTTATTTTTAGAATCTATGATAAAAAATTAAAAATTGAGAGCAGAGTGTAATCCTAAAAGATGTTTGGAGATAAACTTAAGTTATTATAAGCCACTTACGCTAAATTAGAACCATTAGAATTTTAATTATTCTTTTCCATATATCATAAATTATTTGATTCATACTTTGTTTTTTAAAAATATTAAATAATAATAATAAAAGAATGTAATCATAAACTAACCAGGTATATAAGGCTGTTGATTATAGGACGACGGTGACGGTATTCGACTGTACTGATTATGATGATTTGATTCGCTGTGCGCCGTGCTATTATTGCGACTGTTACAGTTGTGATGAAGATTAATCGGCATGCCAGCACTATCCATTGGACTGATCGGTGTCATTTCACGATCTTCGATGTATATTTCGCTGCCATCATCTGGAACTTGACGATACTGTGACCAAGGCCATGAAGCAATAGCTGAAAGTATTACTGCCTCAACAGCACAAACACAGCCAATTATCTACAAATACATAAACATATTTTAATATATTTCTAACCAATTTTAAAGTATGGTAATTGGTAATTTACTTACAGCTGAAGTAAACAATGTATCTTTCGAATGTTTAGATACCCAAGTAAATTCTTCAGCAAACAAGATCATGTGCATTAACAATGTGGAGCTCACAATAAATATTAAACCAATAGTCAGATACATCCACGTATTCTATTAAAAGCATTGGTACAAATTTGGAAAAAGTACTAGTTTTATATAGAAAACTTACAATTTTAGTCCAATTAAATGGAAACATCAGTGCTATATGTGAAATGTCAAGAAATAACATTAGACAAGTAATGAGGAATGAGAAAAGCGCACAGAAGACCATTAACCTTAATCGTCCAATAAGTGGCAGTAAAAAGAGGCCAACTTGAACTGTGCCTGCGGAACATTCGCAAGCTAAACAAGCGGCGGAGGATAACTATAAGAAGAATTTTTAAAAATATCAGAAAAATTTTTTTGGTTTGAAAAAAAATATTCAACAGCGAGTGATTATAATTACCACCAACAGAATTCGCACAATCCCTGTAGGCGTTTTCAAATGTTGCGGATCACAGTGAAGGGCTACGCCCCATGGCAGTGGCGTTTGGCCGCTGCGTTGTTTATAATTGGCGTGCGAGTCCCATGACGTGCACGTTCCCAGCGGCGACTCTAAGGGTAATGAAAGTTCTCCAGCCCTGCTGCCAGCTATTTCAAAATCCTGCTCATCATCGAGCTGACAGCAGACCGGTTCAAGATCACGTATTTCGTCCAGAAGGAGTTCTATCTCGTCCGTTCCATATAGATCAGATACAGACGGTATATAACGTTGAAGTTGTTGCATTTCCCGCTGCGGGGGATGTCCCACATCACCGGATCTTGTGCGAAATATTTATATATTCGAAAATTCCAAAATAGAATAAATATACGTTTTGAAATTCTTTAAACACTTGCGGCTACCAACTCTCTTAATTGAAGCTAATTCAAGGCAAACCAGTTACGAGTAAAATTATTTAATTGATTCCCTTGAATCAATGAACTAGCAACAAACATTTTATATCAATTCGTTTTGAGACCTAAAACGAGAAATAAAGTAGGACGATTAAAAATGTTATTTTAAGCATATATAAAATTTAATATCTTAATATATATTTTTGATTAAATTTAGTAGAAGATTCAAATACAAAATAACTCAATATTAGTATTTTCTAATATAAACTATATAAAATAATTAAGGTGATTATGATAGTGATTGCTATAGGTCTTGAAATTGTGTTATAAGCGTTATTGTAATGTAAAAAAAACACTAAATACAAAACAGTGTACAACAAAATAAAGTTTTTTAAACAAACAAAAACTATTCTTCTAAATGATATCTCTCCATAGAGATCCTCCCTAAAACTACAAAAAGGAGTAGACAATATCGCTTAATAGATGAAGGAAAAGAAAATTAAGCCCAATGAAATGAAATCAGTCACTATATTCTCTCTTAATTGAGAAACTCGCCCTTCCATCACAACCAACGAGGTTGGACTTCGATAAAAAATAACATTGAGAACACATATATTCTCCAAACATAAGTCACTTACCCTAAAAGTTACAAATTTGTACTGGCCAATAAATTCTAAGTCGTAACTCTCAATTAACTAAATTACTACTATATATCGCTGTGTAAACATAGTAGGAAACCTTGGATGTCCAATAACAAGGATTCAAAAATGATATCGTAAACCAAAACTATATCCAATAGTTGAAACAATGTCAGAATCAGTACCACAAGCCAATCTTCCCTTTCTTCTAGTTCCCATTTTCCAAGTGAGCTTCATTAAATGTTGATAACAGATTTTTCGTGGATAAAAAAACAAACCTACTAATCAATCTGTCATTTTTGATTAAACTAGCCTTAAAGATCGTAAATAGTATATAACACTTAAATTCCATATAACATGTACTAAAATAGTTGGTGTAGGCCAAACTGTTTGGCCGTTTTTGAGGGAACTAGAAAATCACTCAGTTGGTACAATCAGGCTTATGAATTAGGGAGTCTAATAAATCATAAGTGCAACAAACACAATTAGGACTATTTATGAAATGATTGAACCAGTTTCTTAATATGCTCCTAAGATCTAGTGTCATCACTCTGTGGTCAAAAATTCGAAGTAATTCTTATTCTCGAACTTTCTTCTAAAAAATATTTATCCAAACACTGTTTTATTAACGTACATCCTCGGTGTCCAGATAAAATCACAATTTGGTATTTGACACAAATTCTTAGTTCAACAAGGCTGCCTTTTCAATTTGGAACATAAGCCCATATGCAATAGGGACTTTTAACCACACCTACCGAACTATATGCCACAAAATGAGCTTAATTTAGTACCACGACTTCAGTGACATTTTTTGAACAAAACTATCATTCAAAACATCTGGTGTCTATTTGAAAGTTTGACCATTTGGTCTAAAGGTGTGATGGGTCTGTACTTTCATGAGAATGGCAAAAATATGACCCAAACTGTTAATTCTAAACTACCATATTTTACTAGCATAAAATTGAAAATAAGGATATCGAGTATATTTAGTTTCAACAAAATGATGGTATATGTCACACAGCATATCTTGTTTTGATATTATAAATAATTACCATGATTATGTGATTTACCGGTACTGATTTTTTTATGGAGCTATGCAAAAGATTATAACCCTATAATCCTCAAACCAAGGTTATTTGGCTTACTGAACTGTTTTTGTGGTGTTGCGCAAAGGATTGTATCGCATACAACTCAAACTCACAACGATTCGAAGACGAACATTTGTCAAGTTGTGTCTGAGCTTTTGTCGACTGAATTCTTCTGGGGTAAAGAAGGATTCAGTACTATAAGTTGTCTCATAAAAGACAATTGAATGTTTTAGCACCGAATGGCAAGACTCAAATAACATATGAAATAAAATTTGATCTCTACTAAAACAGTAGTTTTTATTCAGAAATTTATTGAAAGTAGACAGAACACCAACTTTACATTTAAAAATAATTGTACCGTTCAGATTGGTAGTAATGTGTGATTGGACCAGAAAAAATACGCAAAAATTCGTAACATGAAACAACACTCAGGAGAATTTTAGTACAAAAAGAGAGGAATCATATATCCTGTGCCTAACGTTTCTGAAAGTAATAATACCATAGGTGAGTTTTACTCAAGCAGCATCGAAAATGTCATAAAAAAATTTAAAACAAAAAAACTGATCCAATAATGAAAAAACAATACAACCAGAATATTTTGTCCTACGATGGTGAAGGTTGGATTGTTATGCTGGATTCACACTGGGTTCACACGAGAGTTATGTTTGTAATTGTAGCTGTCAAAAATTTTCATTTTTCAAGGAAAGCAACAACAATTGACAGTTAAAATTAAAAACATGACAGCTAAAATTACAAACAATATTCTCGTGTAAACCCAGTATTAAATGCTTTGACTTTGCGAACAAAAGCAACTTTTGTTTCCTCTAAAAATATATTTTTAAAGTCGGTCTAAAGGTCGTTTAATTAAACATGTTATTTTGAAAACTAAAAATATCATTTAATTTAAACTAATTATAAGTATAAATGATTTAATTTATAACAACTAATTGAACTCACGCTTATAATCCACTTACCTTGTTTAAACACAGCACTTCATTATAAGGACCCCAACTTGAAGCATACCGCGCTGCACTCATAATGTACATGTTGTGGACTTCCATAGCTTTTGCGAAACGTATCTTGAAGATTCTTCCATTTGCTTCAAGCCAAACCCACTGAAATTTAAAAATAAAAGAACATGTATTTCATAAGATTTTCTTTTTTTAGATATTAAAAAAAAGGAAATACTTTTAGATACTCGTGCTATATAATGATTTATAAAAAGTAATGATCTATTTCTATTTCTACTGACAACGGGTTTAGTTTTTTCTCAAAAACAAAAAATATGTACCCTTAATAAGCACTTTTAATGAACCTTAGCTGATATTGCTATAGATTTATCAGATCTCTGCGTTATGTCATCCAACCAATTGAGCTTACCTACATATTACTCGCCTATTATAATACTAACTGTTTGGAATACAAACGGCGGCTTTTGATAATGTCCAACACCAAATTTATTTATAAATTTATTTATATTTTTCTTAATATTAATATAGTGTTACATACTTTTATTAAGTCGTTTCTATACTTTATTTTACTTAAAGTAAAATATATAAACTGTAAACTTTTGTGTTCTTCAGTAATTTCAAAAATTATTAAAAAGAAAAATGCAAAAAAGTTTAAAGAGGTTTTTCGAACAGTAGTGAACTACAACAACAAAAATTTTATTTTTTATATTATTTTAATTAATAGATTTTTGGCTGACCATACAGCTGTTTCGAGTATTGCCAAATACCCATCATCAGTGGTTTTGGAAATAATTATTGTATTTAATTATTCGTAAATAATTATTTTTGAGACTGCAAGTACCAGGAATCGAACTCGGGTCCTGCCAAATGTGAAAAAAAAGTTTAATCAAATTTGTCTTAATATTAAGATGACAAGTCTTTACTAAACTTCGAAAGGACATTCAATAGACGTTCAATGGACTTCAATCACATCACATAAACGCATGTGATAAAAATAGTGCTGTAAAGCACTTTTTTCACTTATGGCGTAATATGTATCAAATCATAACTTTTAATAATTTTTCGTTGTTATAAACAACTCAAACCACGCCTCACACAAGTACAGGATTTGGAAATATGATTTTTATTTAAAATAACTAGTAATGTTTAAAATAAAAAAACTACAAAAATTACAAATTTACTGAAATAATATATTTTTTAGACACCAAAAACTAAAAATAGATTAAGCAACTTTTTCTTCCCTAAGAACCTGAAAGGCAAAAGGCTACTAAAAACTATGGCACCCAGTTGGGTATAACCTCAAGAAACCATTATGAGTAAAAAGCTTTAACATCAGTTAAAATCTTTGTCAGTTACTCTCTGCAAGTGAATTAATATGTTGACAATTTTAGTCAGTTGAATTGCTTGCTCAGCAGTACTTTCATGCTTGATATGACAAAATTTGATCATCATTCAACCAATTGCGTTCTGTAGATCCTGTATGTATAGAGTGGCGTTCGTCACGATCGGAAATATATATAGAGATGCAAATATTTGTTTCCTTCCTTTCCCAAATCGAGTATACTCTATTTGTTTGTGGTAAGCTTCTTTCATCTTACGTGGACACGTGTAACAGAAAAAATCGTTCTTGGAAATCAATGTCTTTATCCTCACATGACCCAGTCCAGTCTTCGATTGATGTCACGCAAGCAGAGGTCCATCTTATTTTGACATAAGTCTCGCAAGTTCTTTGCTACTGCTGCAAACTACGCCCTCATTTTTTAACTTTCTTGTTTTGTGGAATTATTAAACTGACATTTATGTCTGGATGTGTTACTTGGTTATGTATAGTAATTTACACCACCTTGTTCATAGAGTTCATAGAAGAACACAAGAACTGTAGACTTATAGTTTGTTGCAGTGAATGAACACTACTTTTTCTAAGATGATTTTGTTTTCTCAGTAATGGATAAGGATTTAATACTTATAGAATAAAATAACTGAAATTTCTACGTAATAATGGTGATCTGTTAGTGTCAATAACTACAATATCAATTTATTATTCAATTCTTCCGTGTTATTCAGAAGCTACAAATATTTATTATTTTTTGATCATATTTTTTTATTAATACTACAAAACCATAGCCATGATCTGAACTTACTTTATTGTTTAAAATGTTGATCAGTGATAGTGGCATTAAGCTGCTCGACGACCCAGTATCACAAACCACTTGCATCGAATTCTTTTCAATAAAGACCCAGACTTTGTCAAATTAAAGTCTTCAACACCTTTAACACTAAAAATAGAAGAATCATATGTTAGTTTGTTGTCTACAGAATTAATTGATTTGGTTGATCTAGGTATATTATATATTTTGATAACAACCTATATGTAATAATAAATTGTGTTTTTATATTAGCTTTGCATTCGAAAAAGATATACTGTCAATTACTTCAAGAGATTTTGTACTGTCAATTCCCTGGACAATATTATTGATATATTTCGTTTCACTACTCTCAAAATAGGGGAGATCTCAAAATGGGAGAACGTGAATACACCCGCAGACCTAACTTTTTCTAAGGTCCATATTCTATCCGTACAATTATCCCAAATCCTGTTTTAGAACAGAAAGAGGTAGCTGATGAGATATTAACCGGATTAACTCTGAATGCTGGAATGAACAAGAATACGTATAACACACATTTCTGTTTGCTTTAACAAGTACATCACAATATAGCCTTTTGAATTACAATATTATACTGAACTCTATCTTATCGTCGATCAGGACAAATGTGTGAAACGACGAAAGCGGATACAACCTAGTCTGGAGAAATTGTGAAATCCGTTCATGGAATAAGATGAAGATTGATTCGTAAAAAATATAACTCAGGTGCTACAGTTACTCATCGTTTTACAACGCTGTAAAAGGTGATAGTGAAATACTAGCTATCAATAATAGAATGGAAGAGCGTATATTAATAAGTTATATTCATCCGAATCCAATTGATGGAAAATTGATAGAAAATTCGTTCTTGCTGATTTAACCAGTGTTAAGAAGGATGCTGGTTAAATAATGGTGAACACCATTCGAATAGATTCTAATAAAATCGCTTTAGAAAAATCTTTAATATTATTAATTTATTTCCCTTGGTTGGTGGTCCCAGCTCAAAACGATATTGCTAAACTAGCCAGACGAGGTACTAATATTTCTGAACGTAAAGAGAGGCGATATCGCAATACTTATCGTAATGTGTAAATAATAATTGTAGAACAATATTATTAGAATGACCAATTCGTTCAATTCAAACGAATACATTTATTTGAAGTCTTAGTTAAGATTGCTGAGACTTAGTAAAATCAAAGAATTTACTCAGTGTAACAAGAGTAGAGCAGAGTAGTTTAGGGTTGTGGCTTGTTTAACCGGTCAGTTACTAATCACCAGTCACTTTTATCTGAAATAATATCAGGACTCGGAATGCAAAAAGAAACACATGTTTTTTGAAGATCTTTAGAGTCGAATATATCATTTAGAGTCATTTTAATTTCACACAAATATCAGTTAACGATTAGTGAGCTTATGAAATCTACATTTGACAAGATTTTAGAATGGACTAAGAGCAAGAACTTACAAGTTAATCACACCAAAGTAAACCTTGTTCTACATACAAAAAGAAAAAGGATAAGTAAGAAATGTAATCAGTGTTCTCAGATTAAGGTATGGAATCTATGGATTATATACACACCACAATATTGATGAAATTAAAAAAATGGGTAATGGTCTGGCCAAGACTAATTTCATATCAGCTACAAACTATATTCAATCAACACCAGACTTTGAAATTAATCCTATAGGTTAAAGCTGAGTGTTGGAGTTTTGTGATAAACTGCTGTAAAGTTTCCATCTAAATGGATAGTTCAAAGATTGAGAGAAGCACGAGGCGGATTTTGGCCCGAGGTGCATCTTGGTAGGGCAGTTCATAAATCCTGAAATTTTTTTTAAACTGAGACATATACAATTGAAAAAGCGGATGGGTTAATACGTGGTTTAAAATGGTTTTAACTGTACTATTGTATTAATGGTTGGGAACTTATAAGTAAATGTTGTTCAGATATTTAGTTAGACACCAACTTAAATCAGAAAAAAAACTACTTAAACGATATCTTAGGTTAATGAAACCAATATCAATAGAATATTTGTTTTAAGAAAAATTTATTTCTGAACTTTATTATTGCGATTAGATTAAATAACAAATCCGCTGTTATGAATATGATTATTTAGATTAGCGTAATATGATTAGCTTCTTACTGGGTATTACTTCTTTCTGGGTACATATTAACCAATTGTGAATACAGAAATAAATTGACAAAAACATAAATGTCTCGCAAAGCTACACATCGCTCGTAAAATTTAAAGTGAATATATCTAATAGTTTATATTGACGAATAATGACTTATCCGCCTTCTGATACGTATTGAGCTCGACAGCCACAATATCTCAAATACGTTAAATTCTTTTATTTTTCATATGAAATTTAAATTTTACAACTTATCGTTATATTCTTAACGATTTATCGAATAAATACATAATGGGGAATATGTCTATACTACGTAAGTCAACTTTACCACATGCCTTATCTGCCATCAAGAACTACTTGCAATTCAAATCGTTTCAAGCCTTTCGCGTTCATGCTCAATTGCTAATAAATTTTATAAGCGTTGAGCTTATATTGCATTATTTTCCACATAAATTGCTTCAAAATACTTATTAATAAAAGCGGCAGATTGTCTGAAAAAATAAAAGTACTTAATAATATCAACAACATAGTACCAGATGTGAGTGGTTGTGTACTTGAAAAATCATAAATGAAGCTTACAAGATTAACCGGTCAAAATGTTTACGAGAGACGTTTTATGAGTAGTTAAAATTATTTTCTTTTAACTGAATTTTAAATATTTAAATTTTATTGCAGTTTAATTGTTATTTTGAATTTTAGTTGACTAGCAAAGAAATCTTTTTTAACTGTCAGAGATAGATAGGCTCTTAAAGGCCATGTTATGCAGAAAGTTGGATAATTATTGGAATTGGCCGGATAATTAGAAAATTATATTATATATATTTGGTATATTCAAATTATTACTTGTTCTGGTGTTACAAAATTATTGAGACTGTAAAATCTTTAAATCAAATGAATGCGTGACTTAGTTGGGATCCTTTAGATCTAGCATAAAAAATACTACTTCCAGAAAGGTGAAAAAGGTATTGGATCAAAACAGAAAACATATAATTCTATTTTACTTTTACCAAATAACTTATTAACTATTTAAGGAAAGCATAAGCTTTCTATTAGGGAACGAATTATTATTTTGAACTTTAGTCAACACATTTATATTAATGCTATAAATGATTCAAAAGAATCTTCAACACTCTAACAAAGCATAGAATCTATCTTATATATCTATCTTATGTTACTAATGGAACTCAATAGTGAAACAATTTGAAGCATTAATATGCTATATTTAAGCACTTTGGTAATGTATTTACCACATCGAGTTCTAAGTTTTATTTTGTAATGTAGTTTTGTTGTGACTCAGTTAGATATTTTTCGTGTCCAGTAAGATGAAAAAGGTATTGGATGAAAACAGAAAACATATAATACTATTTTACTTTTATCAAATAACTTATTAACTATTTAAGGAAAGCATAAGCTTTCTATTAGGGAACGAATTATTATTTTGAACTTTAGTCAACACATTTATATTAATGCTATAAATGATTCAAAAGAATCTTCAACACTCTAACAAAGCATAGAATCTATCTTATATATCTATCTTATGTTACTAATGGAACTCAATAGTGAAACAATTTGAAGCATTAATATGCTATATTTAAGCACTTTGGTAATGTATTTACCACATCGAGTTCTAAGTTTTATTTTGTAATGTAGTTTTGTTGTGACTCAGTTAGATATTTTTCGTGTCCAGTAAGATGAAAAAGGTATTGGATGAAAACAGAAAACATATAATACTATTTTACTTTTACCAAATAACTTATTAACTATTTAAGGAAAGCATAAGCTTTCTATTAGGGAACGAATTATTATTTTGAACTTTAGTCAACACATTTATATTAATGCTATAAATGATTCAAAAGAATCTTTAACACTCTAACAAAGCATAGAATCTATCTTATATATCTATCTTATGTTACTAACGGAACTCAATAGTGAAACAATTTGAAGCATTAATATGCTATATTTAAGCACTTTGGTAATATATATATCACATCGAGTTCTAAGTTTTATTTTGTAATGTAGTATTTTTTGTGACCCAGTTAACCCAGTAAGGTGAAAAAGGTATTGGATCAAAACAAAAAACATATAATTCTATTTTACTTTTACCAAATAACTTATTAACTATTTAAGGAAAGCATAAGCTTTCTATTAGGGAACGAATTATTATTTTGAACTTTAGTCAACACATTTATATTAATGCTATAAATGATTCAAAAGAATCTTCAACACTCTAAGAAAGCATAGAATCTATCTTATATATCTATCTTATGTTACTAACGGAACTCAATAGTGAAACAATTTGAAGCATTAATATGCTATATTTAAGCACTTTGGTAATGTATTTACCACATCGAGTTCTAAGTTTTATTTTGTAATGTAGTTTTGTTGTGACTCAGTTAGATATTTTTCGTGTCCAGTAAGATGAAAAAGGTATTGGATGAAAACAGAAAACATATAATACTATTTTACTTTTACCAAATAACTTATTAACTATTTAAGGAAAGCATAAGCTTTCTATTAGGGAACGAATTATTATTTTGAACTTTAGTCAACACATTTATATTAATGCTATAAATGATTCAAAAGAATCTTCAACACTCTAACAAAGCATAGAATCTATCTTATATATCTATCTTATGTTACTAACGGAACTCAATAGTGAAACAATTTGAAGCATTAATATGCTATATTTAAGCACTTTGGTAATATATATATCACATCGAGTTCTAAGTTTTATTTTGTAATGTAGTATTTTTTGTGACCCAGTTAACCCAGTAAAGTGAAAAAGGTATTGGATCAAAACAAAAAACATATAATTCTATTTTACTTTTACCAAATAACTTATTAACTATTTAAGGAAAGCATAAGCTTTCTATTAGGGAACGAATTATTATTTTGAACTTTAGTCAACACATTTATATTAATGCTATAAATGATTCAAAAGAATCTTCAACACTCTAAGAAAGCATAGAATCTATCTTATATATCTATCTTATGTTACTAACGGAACTCAATAGTGAAACAATTTGAAGCATTAATATGCTATATTTAAGCACTTTGGTAATATATTTACCACATCGAGTTCTAAGTTTTATTTTGTAATGTAGTATTTTTTGTGACCCAGTTAGATATTTTTCGTGTCCTAAACTAGAACTTTTATGTAAAAATAGACTCTGTTACTGATTGTTTTTAAAATCATTATTCTGTTTACTTTTCAATTCAATAAATATGTATATGAAATCTCTCATATTTTATTCGTAATAATAAAATTAGTAACACATTTATAGTTAATTTCTGTGGAGATAATAATAGTAATCTAGATAACATGCAACGACGCAGATATATGTTAATTTTATTCTATATGCACCTGAAGACGTGCTTACTGTAGGTTGTGTTTGGTGCAAGAGTGCAAGAAAGCAGAATTTTAAAAAAATTCTTCAGTTTTAAACTACACAATTACAGACTATAACTATTTGAAAGTTGGCAACACTTACTGCACTGCATTAAGTTTGCAGTACGCTAGCCAGATATGTATCAAGGGGATATACTATAAAATATTTTTACCGAAATTACTCACTCCATAGTTCACTAAAGTATTTATAATAATTTGATAATATATTTGTATTTTTTGATACAAATATATTTGATAATTGATTTGATATTAATTTTTGTTTTATTTTTGGTTATTTGATTTTGATAACTTAATTTGATATTAAGTTTATTTGTTGAATTTTTTTTTATAGCTCACTTAATTAACTATAAAAATAAAAATTTATGATTTATATATATATTTTTATATATATATGTAATAATTAATGGTGTATATTCTTTTTAGACCGTGTGCGAGTTCGAGTAAATTGATGGGATTGAAGGTAATAGTAAATTATGTCGGTATAGCAGCGAATGTAGGTATTTGCCAGAATTTCGAGTAGGGTAAATTAGATAAAAATTAGGTAAATTACGTGTGAACATTGTGAAAATTTTATAAGATGTTTAATAAATAAATAAATAAATTTGAAAACTTTTAACCAAAAAAAATAAATAAGTGCAATAAATATATAAATAAATATTTACATAAATGCAGTGCAAAAAATCCCTAGGTAATTTCAATTTACCTTACCTCAGTTTTTTCTCTGCATAAAAATTAAAACTAACTCTTCTGTCTTCTATTATTCTATAGTAGGTTTTTGAAGTTAGCTAGTTTTTACAATTAAAAATATTGTAGGTTTCATGTTCAAAATTTCTAGTTAATATTAATAATAATTTTGTTTTTTTACGGGCTATTTGGTCAGTAGTTAAATAATAAACTTTTGAAAAAAATTTTTATTTTTTTTTAAGATTTTATTTGAACCGATATTTCGACTGTAATCTATAGTCATCATCGATGATCTTTTAAAAGAAAATAAAAATTTTTTTAAAATGTTTATTATTTAACTATTGAACAATTAGCCCGTAAAAAACAAAATTATTATTAAAAATATTTGGTTATTAAAACAATAAATTATTAGTTAATATTAATGCTAAAATATAAAAATAAATATATATCACAATTGTATGATATTTTTTACCTTGCGATTGCGTTGTCTTGTCAAGGAGAGGATTAAAGGCGCATGAACACACCACTGTTAATTTGATATGATAATGTGGCAGCATTTGAAAATTGTTTACTATTAAAAATTTTTTTAAATAACAATTAAAAATCAAGTAAAAATATTAGAAATATATTTTATATAGTATATATATACTTTGTTATTTTTCGGGTTTATTCATAATACCATCGATGCGAAATTTTCGTGACTTATCGGCCAAAAATTTGATCAAGTAATTTTCAAATAATATTGTTAAACAGTATTATTTATTTTTATTATCAAAAGTTATATTTTATCTATAAAACACGCTTATTAATTAATTGAGTACTTCGTAGATGACATTCGAAGATGATCAAAATATTGGAATATAATTCAAATAAATAAAAATTTAAAACATATTCTTAAAAATGATGTCATTATTTAAACGACCAATTAATTAGCTTGTGCAATAATTAACAAATTAATTAATTAAAAATTTAGATTTAGAAAATTTAAATTTTATCTAAATTAATAAAAATGTTCGAAATCAGCTGATTTTTGTTTTGATTTTAAATATCCTCTACACATAAAAAGTTGGATATATTCACGCAAGAGCTGTGCACTTTTGCACTTCTGCGCGGTGCAAAACCTATCGTGAATGGCCTTATTATTTTTTAATTTCGCTGCATGCAGAGTTCTGCACATCTGTTTTGGCCGTAAGGGCTTAAAATGACATGATTCGTGTTATTTCTTTGAAAAATTCTCTTCATCTTGTCTGTCTTTCTTATACATACATATATACAAGACACTGCTGTGTCTTATTAGAGTGGAAAGGTAATCAGATGTTTTTAATAGCTTAAGGTGTAGCGCTTGCGAATATAAATTATTAAAAAACAAAAAAAAAGTAGGGCTAATTTTATTTTTATTTTTTTTCTTGTAATTTTAAAAGATTAGATTTTGTGTACATATATGCACTATTTTTAACTTTAATAATAGTAAGAATACAGTACTAAATAAAATCAGGATAAAAGGACGAAAGAATACTAAACTCTCAATGATAGTTACTTTTGGTAAATATCTTTGGTAAAACAGTTTTTTTTATAATGTAAAAATATTAAAAATAGTAAAATAAGAGCAAACAAATATAATTTGAATAACAGACATTTTATTTTTAAAATATACATTTGTATATATGTTATAGTAATATAGCAAAATATTTTACAATTAATTATAAAAGTATAAATAAATAGGAAACTGCTTATCTAAACATGTGCTAGTATGTAAATAAATAATACTGAAGAGTATATCTACTAGAGTATGTGTCTGAGTATATGTATATGTGTATATGTGAAGTTTGCACTTGACCCACCTTTTTTGCAGCTGCAGGTTAAAGCACGTTTTTATAGAGGACGATGTGTGTAGTTTTGTTGAGTTTTGTTCAATCAACGAAAACAACAACAACTATTACAAAGATTTACAAAATTAATTTCGAACCCAAAACATGTACAAATACCAATTCAAACGTCATTACTAAAAATGATTCTCACACCATTTGCCTGTACACTTGTTTTCATGTGTGTGTGGGAGGAAACGAATTATGCTTTTTCATTCATTTCCTATTTTTTTTTTTCATCGATTCATAAACATGGATTCGTACATAAATATACAAATTAATATATTAAATTCATTTAGATTTTACATTGTATAGCACAAAAAAGAAACTTTAAAACGTTTCACTTTTATATTATTGTGTTTTATTTAATTCATTTATTTTAACTTCTTTACAATTTAAACTTTTACCCAGTTTTGTTGTTTGTTGGTTTGATTTTTAGAAAAAACTATGTTGATAGTATTTTAAGTTCATTTACTTTTTGCAATAGTGCTCGACTTTGTTCCTTTTTATTTAATTATACAAAACGGCAAGAATATTCAATATTAGGGCATAATTAAATGTTTCTTTTGTTTTTTATACATTTTTGTTAGGGCCCTTCTTTAGGGGAAGCTTGCCACTTAAACTTCAATAAAAATTTTAGTGGCTCATACGTAGCATTTTGTTTTGAACTCCTACTAACGACAATTGAGCACAAGGACTATAGAACATAACATAGAATATAACGAAAATATGTTGTTCTTTACTTTTATTTCATTTTACTCCATTTCATTTCAATTTTAAAGCGTATAACACAAAAAATATTTGTATGAATTAAATTTTTATTTACTCATTCAAAAATACTATAATTACACGTTGGCCTGCACAAACTAAAACTTTGTACTTTATTATTCGATTGTGGCTTGCGTTGTTTTTGTATTTTATTGGATTTTATTGGATTTTATTGTATTTTATTGAATTTTATTGAATTTTATTGTTGTTTATAACGAAACTGTTTAAAATTTATTGTAATTTTTTAATAAAATGTATATATTTGACATCAAGAGACTACACAAAAAACATGAAAAATTATGTTAAACAAATTCCGCAACAGCAGCACAGCGCACCAAATCACCAACTACCACACACACGAACATCAACACCAATACTCACCAAGCAAAGACCTGATTCCCATTCACCATGCTTGTGCTTCAATTTTTTCAGCAATGCTCACACATTCAAACAAATTTTGTGCTCATTATCCTTTATTGGATATTCGGTAGAGTGCTTGTTCATGTTGTTGGTATTGTTGCATAAGCTCTTTGCTTAGTAGGCATACGAGTGTATTTTTATTAAACATGGAACGGCTGCAGTTAAGCTTGTGAACATAGAATTTTTCTCTTCTCTACAGTTCTGTACAATCTAAGAGCACATATTATTGCAAGATAAGTTAAAGTTTTTATAGGACGTCAGTCAAATAGAGCAACTTGATGGTGTGAAAGCACGCTGATTTGAAAAAGCTTTGATATGTCTTGCGTGCATCATATGTGGTGAATTATCCAACTAAAACCTGTAATGTATGAAAAGGATAACAACTTCTTTGTGATATGGAGACAGAAACTTTTATTGCATTTGAAGTTATCGAAACAGTGCAATATTGCAGCATTGTTGGCATTAAGAGCAACAACATGAAACATTAGTGTTGCAAAATTGTTTAAAATTATTTATTATTTTGAAAAATTATATATCATAATAGATTATATGATATTTATTTAATGGAAAAATTTCGAACAGTAGTGAGCTACAACAACAAATATTATTTTTATATTATTTTAATTAATTGAATTTTTGGCTGACCATACAGCTGTTTCGAGTATTGCCAAATACCCATTATCAGTGGTTGTAGAAATATTTCTTGTATTTAATTATTCGTAAATAATTCCTTTGAGACTGCAAGTACCAGGGATTAAATACCACAGTTTAGGTTAAGGTAAAATAAGACACTTCTGTCATATTGACATTAAAATCAAATTTAATTTGTTTAATATTTCATAATATAACATTTTTTATAATATTATTATAATTTATGGTTTTAACGACCAAATATTTTTTATAACAATTTAATTTTTTTATGGGCTAATTGGTCAACAGTTAACCTATTTCTGACCCACGGCTAGTTTTAAATATTTTTTAATATACAAAGAATATTTTATATTTTTTATGTAAAAAGAAAGTGAGAGTAATCTTTCAAATAAATATTAAACTTTTCTTATTTACTTAAATTTGTTTTATTTTATATTATTAACTACAGAAAAATTTCTAATCTGAAATTGCCTGGTACTTAATGTTTTTAAAAGACTTTAATTTAACCGATAATTCGATTTTATCTTATAGTCATCCTCAGGGTACTATAAAATTTTAATACAATGTAACAATATTTTAGTACATATCACAAAGAAAGAATTATAAAATACATTAACATATTATTATAAAAAAAATATAAATGAAATATAATATATAAAATATAAATAAACTTAAAAATAAATGAATACTGGAATTTATACACATTTTTTTTTTTGAATTATTTTAAATATTTTTTAACTGAGCTCTTATATATTATATACAACTTCTCCAACACTGAGAATTTTATTTAAAATTTAATTTCTCTTTGTTTGATAAGAACCAAAGTAGCTTAAAGCTTTAAATATTTTTAGGTTAAAAAATGAAGCATTTAAAATTTTAATATTCTTATCGAAAATCAAGAGAGTGACACTGGCTTCAGTATTCTATTACTAACATATTACTCGAATTTAATAAAGTTGCTGTTCTCTTATATTCTAAAGTTGGTTAAAGTTCTATTAGAAATATACTAAAATCATTTGAATATTTGTAAATTATTGTTAAATATTTAACACAAACCTTCAAAGACTTTTTTACAGAGCGTTTTGAACGCAATGTGTGATTTAACATACAGATTTATTGAACTGTTTACACTATGTTTTAAAACGTTTGACAGTTGCTGAGGTTTATTGAACTGTTTACACTGTTTCAAATCGTTTGATAATTGCTGAGATTTTCAAGCGTTTCACTGACTTAATAAGTACATTAGTAGTTATAAGTCTGTTAACTCTTACGCAGGACTGCATGAAAATAGATCAGTGAGAAACTAGGCAATTACAATTTATAACGTAATTTCTTTGTCAAACAATAAAATTAAAAGCATTGCTGCTTATGTATGTTTTTGTGATCTATATTATACTCTTAAATATCGAGACAAATGTGTTGGAAGAGTTGTAGTAGCTATCGAAATATTTTTATTTTTTTTTTATAATAAAGAATCATTTATATATTATATAGATACCGAATAATACGTATGTGTATTTATCAGAGAACTGCAATAAGTACTCAACACTCGAATCATACTGGAGTCATTATTGTGTTTCACTTACATTCACTTCGACTCTTTTTTTCGTATACTTAACTCCACCTGACTCATACATAAAAATGAAAGTACTTATAATGATTTATATTCTTCTCATATGGTCATTTTTATTGATAACAATAACAACGCACATAAAATTTTTACGAATGCCAAAACTGATCGAATCAGCAATACCTTGATTAATTTTTATGAGTACACTTATTAACTCATACCACTCAAATATATGCTATGACTTATGAGTCTTTTCTAATGTTCTATGATCCTCATTCCTTAGTATTGGTACCTATTTACGAAAACACTCATAAATCATTTCTGTGGCGAGTATAAGTACGTATAAGTACCGTATGAGGAAAATACATTTAACTTGGTTTTTAGGAATGTACTCTGAGTATAAAAATTATGACTTGTTGCAGTTCTCCGGTTTGTTTACACAAAAACAAGATGGCAGATAAAAACTTAAGTATGTTGCAATGCGATTGTGAATGCTCTTTCAAAGGCCAAAGCGCAAATTAGACATGATCAGTGCAAATTTAAGCTCCTAGAATACTTCTAAAATAAATTTCGTTAGAAGCTCTTTAGTAAGTGCGCCCCGAATTAGGAATGAAATGTATTGCCGGGTAGTAAATTATGATTTCACTTATAGGTAGGGGAAAACAATTCGTAAATAAAAGAATTTGTATTTTATGTAAATTAATAATTGTGATCATTGCAATTTTAAACTCCTAAAAGACTCCTAAGAGGAACTTTTAAAGAAGCTCTTTACTAAGTCCGTTTCGAAACAGAAGTGATTTACCGTGTGGTATACGTATTACTGCAATGATGTCAATTTTTGTAGATTGTGTTAAGTTATTACCAAATTGGTTAGTTCATATAAACGTAGATATTGAATGATGTTGCAAATCTCTTTATAAGTTATGTCTACACAAAAAAATATAGAGATGAAGATGAAAATTTGAACACCCACATAAAAATGTCATTTCGCGAAACAGATGATAGTGAATACAAATCGAATTACATTAGATGAAACTTATAATATGTTAGCAGTTGTTATGAATTTTAATAAACGAATAGTTTTGAGTCTCTTCTACAAAGTTAAATGAACAACGATATACCATGTTCCAACTGCAGCTAAATCAACTGATATTAACCAAATTAAGATTTGGTAGAATCCATTATCATAAGTTGATTTATAAGTTGATTTCAAATGGATAGAGACCAGATTTCAAAAAGTTGATGAGAAAGAAAGTACATTTTAGTATTTAATAAAATTTTCTGTTTTGCTAAAATTAATATGCAATAGAGATTAATAAAATTGATTTGTGATTTGATTAAATTTAGTGGAAAGTAATGATATTAAATATTTTTTAATAATTATTAATTTTTTCCGATCCATTGCACGTTATTTTCTGTATGGATAATGCAGAACTGCTGTGAACAATTTCACTAACTTTATATAATATATAATATTTGTTAATATTGTTAATATATTAACAAACGAAAGTTCTTTAATAGCTTTTTTAACATGTAAAACCTCCAATCAGCTGTATAAATTAGATTATTATAATGTGAACGCTCAGCTTTTGAACTCATTAACAAAAATGAGTAAGTGTAAGTCAGCGGTATAAATCATATGGAAGCAATGGGAACATCTATTATGAAATAAATGTTGTGTGTGTTTTTGATTAAAGATATTTCGCAATATCCGAAACAAGTATATCGTCAGTCAATGAAATTACTTGAATGAAAAATTTCTTTTGGATTTACTTAGGTTAATGTGTAAAGAGTTTTATCTTTTAATTTAAATATCTTCAACATTAATTAATTTTAGCTATTAATAAAAACAAAGTTCTTATAGCAATTTGGAGATAAATTTGGCATATGTTAGTACTTATATATTACAAATATACACTGCAATTATCAATTAAAGAAATACTTTATTAGCAAAACATTGTAATTACATTTTTTATCAAAATATTTTTGGTAAAATAATGCTAGACTGTTATTTCTTGACGAAAAATTGAAAAAAAATATAATTTTTATTATTTTTAATTAGAATTGCTCTGTTCGTTAAATATAGTGTCCTTGTAAACTTCATTAACCCGTTGTGGCAAGAGTTCCAGGTCTTCGAGCAGGGACATTTCTTCTTTTAAACTGTTAATGTACATGCGTTGCATCTTACGTATCATTGGATTTATGACTTTTGTGTTAACAACATCATCCACCGAAATGGTGAGAAAGTGATCAGCCTTGCGGAGACTCAAAATATTATCACTGTCATGTTGTTTCATCCTCATAGCATTCTCCTTAGCAACTTCTATACCGCAACGATAACAAAGACTTCCCACATCAGTTTCATCACTTTCGACTAGGCTTGGTATTTCATCAGATTTTCGTGTAGTAGTTGACTTTTCTTCTTGTTTTACTATTTGAGTTTCTTTTTCCTTGATGAGTTCTTTTTTTTGTTCTTTAGGAGATGGTTTTAGTTTTGCCTTTTCACTGGCTGTTGGAGAGTGTTTAATACGTTGTGATGAAGAGCATGTCTTATGCTTTACTTCTTTTCCATCACTTTTTTTACTAGAGCTCAATTCTTTAATGGTATCATCAATAACTGCAGAAATCTTGCATTTTGATTTTGCCGTCTCCCGCAAATTGGCAGAGCTTGGACTGATCATTGCCCGATTGGTGTCGTGGGAGCGTTTGCCGTTTTCGGATTTTGTTGTACTTTTAGAGCACTTTGAGCTTGCAATGAATGATATTGAATCAGATAAGTAGTCTTCGGTTTTATATGATTCCGAACGAACTGATGAATGTGTGGAATATTCTGCATAGTCACATGTTTCCGATCCAATATCACTAAAAGTATAGCAGTTGTGGCGTTTTACACGATTAGCATCACAAACAAGACGCGGCTGACGTTTACGAGCAGAAGACTTCTTAGTGGTGTTGAAATAATGTGGATTTGTACAAGCACAAGCCTTGTATTGAGGCTGCGAAGGCTTTGTAAATATTATAGAAAACAAAATTAAAATAATGTAGATCAGAGTTTATCAATTAATCATATTCTTACACTATCAATGCAATTCTGAAGTTTGCCCAAAAATAAGTTTCTAACTTCCAAGCGACTCATCCTTTATTGAGGAATATCGATTTTTTATAGATAGTTTAAAATTCACTTGATGTCAGCTTAGAAATATTTTTGAATGAAAAACTTTTATGTAAAATATAAAAAAAATTCGAAGCCTACTTACTTTTGAATATTTTAAAGTTTTAACATTAATATTGTTTTGAAATTTATTTATAAAACAAAAAAATCGTACTTTTATAACATAATCCTCAAACTTTATATGTATTGAGAGAACAGTAACAATTTTTTAAAAATATTTATAAATTTCGAATGTGAAAGAAGGCACTGACTTATGAAACTGTAACCAATAAAAAAAAATTTCTTTATATTTATATCATGTTTCCACTGCAGCTTCGATTACTTATATTAATGAAATCAAGATTTTGTCGTTTCCATTGGTATAAGCTGATTTATGTGTGCATGTGAAATAGCTTGTTTGTTACATTTTACATATAAAACATACGACATCTATTAAAAAATTTATTTTTCATTGTTTCAGATGATGTTTCAATAATATATATGGCACCTCTTTCTGTTTCTTTGGTTTTTCATTCTACAATCCAAACGAGGAAACCTGCGTCGTTACTCGGAAGTCAAATATCTTTGCATTATCCGCGTTCTCGAGTTAAACTGGAAAGTTACTCAGAAGTATGTGACGACCATTTGGTCGTTAAGTTTTTAATTCTTTGCTTTGTGACAGCGATAACGATTCCTCTACAAAATTATATTAATTTCACCACACAATTATATTGATTCCCCACATCTTATTTTACATCAAAAAACCACCACCGCAATAATGCTTTGCGGTCAATAAAGCATCGATGGTTCTGCTATGACATGGAATACACAAAAATGCATTTACTTGGTATCGTATTGATATCGATGGTTGATTCTAAAATATCGATACAGTATCGATGCTTTCGCCTGCTGGGTTTATATGAATGCAAAAACTGACCGATACGATAATCATTACCTTCCTTCATTGTTTACTCATTACCTCGAGTATATGATAACATAAGTACTAATGAGTATTTCTACTTAAATGCAGAAGTGATGGTGATTCATTAGCACCGGTAGGATAGGATAGGATAGAAATAAATGAGGTTCTAGCTCCCAACGGAGCGGAGCACTGCGACCATGATTGATCTTTTGTGCTGCAACAGACCCTAACCGAACAACAGACCCTAACCGCCTTCCGAATAAAGGTCTAAATGTCAGGCGTTGAGGACCTCTTAATGTCAGAAGAGGAGAGTAGTTCTCGACCCAGTGACCTCCTCCTAGCCCAGATCAAGGCTGGGCAGTCATAGATAATGTGACTGAAAGTCTCGTCGACTCTTCGGACAGACCCATTTTGTTAAGGTGATAACGCAGTTCATGGTGACCCATTAAATATTCCACCAGCAACCTCAACTCTGTTCTGCTGAAGAAAGATACCATACCATAACTATGGGGATGAACCAGCTCTTTAGCCTAAGGGTTATCTCGACTGTCGCGCTAGTAGCGACTTCTCTCGGCTGAACACCATTTATCAATTAGAAACCTATTAGTACCAATATTCGTTTACATAACTACTTATGAATTATTTGTGTGGTGAGTCTGTATGCACATAAGTAGCGTATGAGAAAAATGCTGATACGCACTTATACTCACTTTTAATGAGTGTACTCTAAGTATTAAAATTATGATGTGAGTCTAATGTGAATATTAAAAAAAAATGTTTGTTTCTTCACCTTAAGGTTAGTACTAGTATCCATTTCTCATGAGAAAATTACATAAAATTACAAAAAAAAAAAAATATCTTCAAAATATTGACATTGTAGAAAATTCTTTTCATATGGAGTCTTATGTCAATTATTCGTGCAAAATGGATGACAGTACCAGACATAAGTTTGTACATGCGCGTTCTCTCACACAAAATGGGTGAAACATTATTGTTTTTTAAATTTGATGTTTGATTTTTATGGTTTAATTAAGTCCAGAGTTGTGTTTTTAGAAACCCATGCAAATGTTTAGAATCTATAGATTACATTATTTTTAAATGAAACAGTTTATTCTCCTTATGTATGTTTCTCTTTTTTTTTGCAATCTATTGTATCATACAGATATATGTATATAACTTTAAATAAATTAATAAAATTTACTCTGTATGAACTAATATAGCCGTTACCAGCCGCTAGAGGATACAGACGGATAAGGTTAATCCATAGTTATGTACGGATAAGACTTACCATATTGTATTTTTAATACAAAAATTTGAATTCGAATAGCGTAGTTTTTAATATTAATGTCCATATATCATATGATTGTGTATTATATTAATGTCTATATTATATAGTAAAATTAATACAAATTAAAATAAAATATAATTTTTTTAAATATATTTAAAGATTTTTATTAAAAATTGTATTTTCCATATAATGCTCAAATGCTCGAGATATTTCGGTGTGGTTTGGAGCCAGATGTGTGTCCGCCATTATTGCCAAACGATATTTATCGCCGAAACGATGAATGTTCAAAGATAAGGCTACATAATTGGGATATAAGTAAAAGTTATTCAATTGTTGTAATATAAAAAAGAAATAAAATTTATTATGATTTACATGTTTTTGATTGTGGTGGCCGAAATAATAAGACATCCTCTACGGTTTGACCCCAAATAGTTTGAAAATCAGAGTTCTTGCCATGAATTTCTGTTATAGTTACTGGAAAATTAAACGAGAAATAGTTGATGAAGATCTTAGTTAGTATGCGAGGAATTAGAGATGTAAGTATATTGAATCTTGTCTGCCCCATTGAAGCCAGATATATCATAATCTGCTTATCGCGTATTTTTTTCACTATCTCGTTTACTTTATTAACTTGCAACTTGTCAGGTTCGCTTAATGGTAATGACAGGAAAACTGCACCTCCGATATGTTCAATTTCATCGCATAATCTCTCAGTAAAGTAACCTTTTTCAATTGTCCGACAAGTAGTGTTCAGCATAATGGGCACCGTTGCAATGTCATTGAAGGTATGAAAGTAATCGTTTAGAGCACCTGCAAGACAAGCTAAAACGAAATCAGACTCTCTTAATTCTTTATTGAAATCAATTCGATGGCGTAAATCCAATGCACTAATTGATTTTGTGAAAGTTATTATTTTGCGCCCAGAATATGACTTTTTGTGTAATATATTCGTTTCTTTTGAAGGATTCTCAAATAGTTCCTCAAATATATTAACTGGGGCTTTGTAAAGCTCATAGCATATTTTTAAAAACTCCATATGGGCATAAATAGTCAATGGTAGATAAACAGCTAAGCAATTACAAAGTGTCGCGGTTCGTTTTGTTATACCGAAGAATAGTAAGTCTCTCAAAGCCCAAAACTCACAATACAAAAGGTAAGGAAAACGATAAAAGCAATTTATATTTATATACCATATTAATTTAGTTAAAAATTTCAGGATGTTAGGCGGCCAACAAGAGGATCCTGCCACATTTTGCACCACTTGCCAAGATAATTCACGTTCCTCAATTTCTTTCATCAACAGTTCTGAAAATATTGAAAACTTGCTGCAATTCTCAGTGAAGGGAGAATTTCTTCTCTTCAATTTATTGTGTATTTTAATTTTTTCAAAATACTTTAAAACGGTGTTAACAACTATAATAAGACATACCGATAACAGCTGTCTAATATTTCCAATGTGTGCATTTCTATAGCCATCAGGCATCTCCAATGACTCAAATTCATATATAAAAGCGTTCCACCAATTAAGTAAGGCATTAAGCAAATGATGGCACAATTTTGAAATATGCACTGGCTTACACACAAAATGTGACAGTTCTGGATGGTTAGCAGTGCTACCTAATTTACCAATATCAATGACAGCTCTACGTTGAACATCGTGAAGCATTAGTATTTCGCTTATGTGTAAATCCTCTTCTTCAGCTATTATCAAGTGATGAACTTTAATCAAAACATAATAATGATCATTTTGCTGAAAAAAAACATTGCAAAGGTAATACACAACGATAATATATGAGTACCAGCTATGAACTTACAATAACTTGACAGCCACCTGTATTTTGATCAACGGCAAACGTTGGTATTATTAAAACTTGCCATTGCGGCAGGTCGGATGGTATATACTTTGTAGCTAAATCCGATATATAATCTTCTATATTTGTTTCATTTACAGGTCGACCTCTAAAAGTTCTTGACGCCATTAAGATGTGATTGTTAATATTAAATGAGCTATTTAATATAAATAATAATTAATGACAATTAAATATTTACTTAGAATCAAACTCACCTGCTATCATTAACCCAGGCATAGTGGCCCCAACATGCAACTAATCTTTGTCTTAATTTTGGAAACCTTAAAAATCCAGCTTTATCACGTCTGTCTGTCAGGTTAGAGGCATAGTATTCTTTGATTTTTTCAAACTCGCAACTTCCCTTAACTTTTAGGAGAAAGTGAAAGATTCCAGCGTTTCGTGGAGTATCGATCAGTGTACGTATTTGTTTTGATTTTGATATTGTCAATCCTGGGTACTTAATGGAGAGTACATAATTTACAATTTCATTACTATAGTGAACACCTGAAAAAAATATTTATATTATTTGTACCTTGAAATTATAACATCGATGAGTGGAACTGAATTAGCATTATATGACTGTTGTCTCTGGTAATTAATCTACTTTAATTATATATGAAAATGTCATTGGACATAGTCCATACGTGCCTTTTTTTTTAGAACGTAATAACTATTATTACGATTTATGTTAATATATATTACTTATTGTCATTCATACCTGACAGATGTAATAAAATAAATGGATTATAAAAAAAAAATATGACTGTTGTCTCTTTTAATTTATTCTATTGTACTCCCTATAGCATGTAGTTGCAAATAATGAAAGTGTGTTCCTTGAGAAATAGATGAAAAAAATTTAAAATAATAAATATGTACACGTTCTTATAATCGCGATGTGATAATATCTGTGGCAAAAATGCTACGGAATATTCAACAACAGCTAATTTAAAATCTTGTTCGAAAACATAGCTGACAGTAAGAGTGGTCAAACGTTCGGTTTGTAACTCAACAAGCATGGGTGATCCCAAGTTTTTGCGGCTAAAAAAAAATTCGACTAGAAGAGAAGTCACTTTGAGGACTATATTAAAATGGAGCTCTATTAAATCAAAAGAATATTGTATGGCAGAATGGCATTGCAGCACCCCTCAACAAGAGCCAATGGATTAATCAACCAGAACCCACAAGTTCCTCTATTATACCAATTTCATCATTAAGTAAAAATGATTTACGCTTTGAATTCAGACTTCAGACTTTTTGAATTTGGACCAGAAAATATCGGCGGCCGCTTGAACTATATAACTAATACTTGCAATTTATGGTGCTGTCTCTGACAATGTTAGAATAACTTCTAATCCTCTAAGCACCCTGACGTGGCACTTGTTGTTCTATGGTAATAAGTTAGTCCATGTGAAAGTCGTAAAAATACCATCTTGTTTATAGATAAAGGAACTGTGGTTGGTTTCAGAATCAATGTGGAAGAGTTGAATGTAGGTTTGGTATACTGACAAGACCTACAAAACCTAGTATTGCGCCCGAGGTTGTCATAAAAACTCCTACTTGAGTGCAGCAGTCGATGATAATAAATCTTCTGACTAAGCAAGCTTGGAACGGGCCATTGCATCTATGGATATTTTGTGGCTGCTCGAGTCAAATCAAGAGACAAAAACATAGCTAGGTTTTCAGACCTGCGACAGTTATAGCTGATGCACGAGATATTGCAGTGATGCTAGCGCCTGCTGACTGCTAAGTGGCCATAACAAAGAAAGCTGCGTTTTGAATTTTGTGCTATTCTTTTTTATTGGTTGAATTTGGCAAAAGAAACAGGCCAAAGGATAATTTATCTGATTTTGTTATTTTTCAGAAGATGCGATATTACGTAAAAAAGGAAAGAGAAAAGCAGGAAGACAAATTCGGTAAAACCCTAAGTTACTGGCTCTATGCAATCGGGCCTTATTGGCCCTTTGGTATTATGCAAACAATGTGCAATCTTACTAATTTTTCATTCTGGTATGCAGTATTCAAATACAAAGACATGATTTTTTATTTGTACCCACCACTAGTATTTTTTTTTTTTGTTTAATAAATGAAAACCCACCACTAGTATATTACCACTAGATGTGAAGTCTGAAATGAGTTTAACATATGCGGTTTTATTATTAGTAATAATCTGAAGAAAGCAAATTTAGCGGAAATTCACGACTTGGCGAGCCTATATACTTGATGTGATTACATTCTCTCTTCAAGTTGCAGCACTTCAGAGAGTAAAAGTAAGGTGCCAAAAACTCTAACTTCTAAGATATTCAAAATGTCGATTGTAACAATAACTCTAATATCCTATATAGTTTCGATTATTCACAACTAGAAATCCTGAGATGTTTTTATATTGTCCGAGTGGGACTTTACTCCCACATGTTTACTTATAAATGTAGTAGTAGAGTTTCTGTTATGCCTTTGTTTATGTTTTTTTCATTTATAGTTTTGAATATTATATATCCAAGCTATAAATTAAATAGTTTTTTTTTTTTTGGCAAAAATTGTTTATCATTCGTGCTGATTAAGTGCATTTTTTTTTGAAATATTTATAGATATTAAACATTAAGTGAAACGGCTTTTTAATGAAGTATATGTATGTATATATAATATTTAATTTGATAAGGGAAATTACTTTTTTGACTTACAGATAAATGATATTAAAAGAGCTGGAAGCAGAAGACAGGCAATTATAAAGCAAACAAACGTTTTCAGTAAATGTTTTAGTTCGAACAGAATTCTAAAAAAATTATATTTAAAAACCAATAAAATTATATCAGTGCACTAATCTTAATAATTACTTTTCCATTGTGAGTACAATTTATACGAAACCACCTTTCATTTGTTAATTACTAAAACAAAATGTAAACAATTCGTATAATATATATTATGTATTGTAGAGATCTGTTAGTAAACCGTCTATCTAAAGTACAGTATATTTTCTAACTAAATTGTTTTTCAATTTAAATACAGATCCATTAAGTAGTAGGTATATGTACGGCCTCAGATTAAAAGCCATAACGAACAGATCGTGAGCTTCGAACGTAATTTCTTATCAAAAATACAAACTCGGCACTATTTACTAGGAGCTTAGTTTGTATAGAAATTCAAATCGTGAACATATACAAACCTAACAAATCTGAAAATTATTTATAAATAATAACAAGCAATAAAATAAGTGATCATTACATACAAAATTTGATAATGGAGCTGAAGAAATAGAGAGCGATTTGTTATGTAGACAGCCAGTCAGTCACTTTTAATATATTTCAATAAGATTCTTACTCTACTTGTGGAAAGAATTGCAGCGTCTCAATCTGATTTACATTTCACCACGCTATAATTTATTAAAGTCATGAGCAAATATATAAAATCTCAAGAAGACTCTCAGTGCAGAAGACAGTTCGACGGAATCACTCCATGTAATCATATCAATTTGTGTGCCGAAGCGTTCATAAGTCTCACAATTTCGAAGGTGTGTAAATGAAATCTGAGCTGCTTATCTGATTAAAAGAACTTCAAAACAGAAAAAAAAAATATACGGATCTAATCGCTTATTCTTGAGATTATAGATATGGTTTTTTGATTTTATGAATATTGAGTGCTACGTTCTCAGAGAGAGTTCTGATAAACAAACCTTGCATATGTGTCCAAAGTAATATTTCAAAATAAAAGTGTGCCAATACAATAATTGTAAAAAGTGTTAATAAGTTTTGTTTGCTGAAAGGCTAGTATATTGACACACTTATAAATAGGTAGTCCAAGTTGTTTCTCTAAATATTTTAAGGTTACTTGCTTCCGTTAATACTTTCTTAGGTTACTTTGAGATATGTGCTATAAGTGATGAACATCATAAAGAAAAATTTGTTTTACGGTCTATTTTCTTTTTTGGTGATACTAGCAAATGTCTCATACAATATATTGTGCAGTTAAAAATCTTCAGGGCCCCTCTTCTTACTGATCTGTTTGAGCTGTCATCCTACAATATTAGGAACTTACACAAGTTTGGGGGAGTGGTTGCCTTTTTTTGATGACCAACGGTATTTCTGTGGAATAGACCATTATTTGTGATTAATTAGGCTTTCTTGGATACAAGACCGTCACTCCAACCTTACCTAACCTATCTGGTTAACAGAAAGAAAGTAGTGTAGGTATTAATTATATCCGGAGTTATAAAGACCTTTTGACAAATTCTTATGTGCATAGCCTTGGTCCCGAAAGATATTGATTTGTACCTGCAGCTGTATTGATGAGACGTTACTTGACAAGAATATATTATTTGGGATATATAGAACTATCACTGACATGTTGTACAATAGGCAAGCAATCACCGAGTAATTTTTGCTGAATGTCTAATCATACTAGAATAAATTAAAATGAGTCTGTGGACTCACTTGAAAAAATCGAACCTCTCATAGAAAAATGGATCACAACTAAAGTCACCGTACCTTACGCTATAACATCAATAAGATGTATCTGTCTGAGAAGACAAAATATCAGCTTTGCTTGGAAACCAAGTAATTTTCGAGCCGAACATTGGAATCATTTTACTAAATTTTGTAGGAGTATCCGAATATGATTGGAACTAGAAGAAGAACACTAAGCCAGAAGTTCTTATCGCCTTCTGATATTAGGAAGAGCTGAATAATTGTCATGCTCACACTACTCCACTCCGATGGTAATTTCGAAACATGTTACATGATTTGGAACATTTCCAAGAATGTTCCGAAAAGTTATATATCGTAGTGATGGCCAATCCGTTGCTTTCTTTGTTTGTGATCTGGCTATATTTGTGTTGCTATCGACTGTTCTGTCATAAAATTTTTTTTTTCATATATGGTCGCGAAGTATATACATAGGTACACTCAAAATTTCAAATAAATCACATAACACTTTCCTGCTGCTTAAACGACATGTTATGATTGCAATAACGTCACGAAACTAGTTGTTACTTTCATTGAAAAACAAAAATTTAACATTGACAGCTTGCTTTTTTTTGCATTGAAAGCAACAATTGTCGTGGCGTATGCAATTATATATGTCCCTTAGAAAAAAAGAACTTATAAGCAAAGAGAAATAATCTGGCAAAAAACTAAGTAGTAAAAATTAAAATTATTAAACTTGAAAGAAAACAGTTTAAATTTTATGCTTTTTTATATGTAACAACTTGTCAAAATCTAGTATACACCCAAATAACCAAAATGCGATTTATACTATATTTATATTCTGAGATTAAAAGTAGATTAAAACAATAACCGAGATTACAGTACAAACCTTGTTGTTTAATCTCAGATTTCCCATACAAAAGTTAATCTCGTTTTGGTCGAGATTAATTTTGAATTTCCTTAGAAATTTTTATTTTTTTGTGCAACTATACAAATGGCTAAATATCGTAGATTTTTTTACGATCTTAGAAGAATTGGAAAAAAATGTCAAAATCTATTTAAAACAAACATTGAAAATTTGAAAATGCCGAAGTGAAATTTTTATTAAATATGTTTAATAATAGTTTTGTACATAATTATAACTAAAATGTGTTTAATTATTTACCTAAATTTAACAAACACACGAAATGAAACATAAACTCCAATGTATAATATAAACGGTGAAGATTAAAAATATTGATTAACTTAAACTAGAATACAGATTAAAATTATAGCATGCAATTAAAATAAAAGTAATGCAAAATATACATATGGCGTTTTCTCTTAATAAACCTGGACTCAATCTAGATTTACTCTCGATATGTCAAATTTTGTTGACCAATCGAATATTTTTAAAGTAATCTTACACTTTTCTAGTAGTATTAGTAAACATTTATATATTTATTAAATGCATATATCGAAACAAATCACACTCTATCTGTCAAATCATAAAAAACAGCTGTTAATTTTAAGGTAATCTTGCTCCTCTGGCAAAATATCTAGACTGTTATAATTTAATATCGAGTGTCATACATTTTGACCCAGATTTGCCAAAATGAAAATTGTACTAAAAGTACAAAATTACCCTAGATTTACAAATCGAAAACGCCAATAGTTAAAATAGCATTTTCAGTCAATTTAAAATAAAATATTTTAAAGTGAATATAAATTTTTAATATTAACTGTAATTTTTTTTTTTTCAGAGTAGCAAAAAAGTACTCCCAACTTACAAAAAAAAAACACATGAAACAACAACAGTGATTTTAAAATCTTCAGATTTAGGTTTAACTTGCAAAAAAATTTAAAACTAAAGCTTTAGTACTGCCACATTCAAAAATCAGTCTATTGTGAATATTCACTGAAAATATATTTCCAAATTCAAGTCCATATGACCATTTCAGAGAATTTACTAATAAATTTATATACTTAAATCAATAATTTAATTTAAATGTATAAGATAAAAGTGCTTACTATTGTCCTTCCAATACAGATTTTATTTTTTTTTATATAAAGTAATTAATTTATAGTGTTAACAACTTTTATATTTCATATTATACACAACACAACATAAAAAAACATAAGTCAAGCAAAAACATTCAACATATTTTAAAAGTGCTGCCAATTTCCTCTTACCAGATTTAGTGTTATGTGTTCCAAAACAACCGTACAAACAATACGCACCTGTCAGTCATATGTAACAAATCAAAATAATTGATTTGACACTCCTTAGTGCGCTTTATTTGGACTACGGGCCGCTTAAAAACCATGTTACAGACATACAATTTTTATTTTCTCAATTCTGTTTTTACTTACCAAATTGCTTATTGTTTTGAATATAGCAACCCAGTTTGATTCAAATAAAAAAATCAATTAATATAGCTTTGGCTGCTTGCTGCCAAAATATTCTAAAATAAATTTAATTATAACATAACGTCGTTATATTTTTTTATCATGTTAGCAAAATATTAAAGTATTTTAAAATAAGTTTTAAATAAAACATGCGAAATATTTAAAATTGTAGAAAAAGTTATTTAAGGATTTGTTTGTGTCGAAATTTAATAAGTCTGTGGTATTAAATTATAAGAGTGGATTGATTTTTTTTTACTTCTAAAGGATCTTGGGGAAACGAAGTGGTTGAATAAAATACAAAATGAGTGAGTTTTGCGTTTATTATATAAAAGTAACATAGCATAAATCCTGCTTAATAACACTTCTCATATTATTATGTGAAAAGCATTTATTACGTACTTGTCTACCTGAAACAATGAAGTAATTTAGTTTTTTTATTACAAATTGTAGTGAAAAAATATTTTCTTTTGTGTCATTCACATTTTTATACAAATGAAATTTTGTGTTGTGTTATTTTCGTGGTGGGTGTGCAATATCCTCCTCAGGAATATTTATGCGACACGCACATTCTATATATCAATACAATACAAATAGTCATATCCTTAGCTCTGACGTGTGCAGGCTTCTCATAATTGTCGGTAGAGCGTATATACAATAATTAAATAAATTTCTATGTGTTTTTAACACTAATTGGATGTAGCAAATATTAAGATTTTTCACATTTTATTTTGTTCTTTTACTTGTTATTAAAATATATATAACATCTTTATAGGTGATGAGGAATTAGAGAAAGCTATTTTGGACCTATCTAAAAAACAACTCAAAAAAGTGCCAAAGGACGAGAACGCACACAATGTGCGTGTCTTAATTTTAGATGAAAATGAGCTGCAGAAAATTGATAATATCGATTCTTATTTAAAAATTGAAAATGTAAGTTTTATTTAAATATTTTTATTGAAAATATGTATGTATATTTTGCTGCCTTTGTAATGCAGATTACAATCAAAATAATATCATATTAAACATCATTATGTATGTATTCCTGCGATAACATATTCTCTGTCCAGAGGCGAAACGATAGGGGGCAGGGAATTTATTATACCGCTAATTCTACACGCCGAAGGGCACTAAATGGTTTCTAAGACGAGTTTATTTTACAGTAAACATAAAAAAAGAAACATATGTATATTGTTAAAATATTCCACAATTAATATAAATTTTTAATAGAGCTCCAAAAAGCTATGCCTGCTAGCTGTGCCTCACTGTGACGACACGACGAAAAATTTTGAGGCTTACCATATTTACTGCAGTCCTATTCTCCCAGTAGAGCATAGGGCCTCAACAATCCCTCTAAATCTCACACTATTTTTTTGATTCTCTATATATTGTGTTCATTTAGTTCGCTTTCAACAGTTCTTCGCCAAATTTAGGCGGGGGCACCAGGACGGCGGAATCCTTGCGGATTTCACATCAACGTTTGTTTCGCAATATAGATGTTATTTTTGTGAAGAGTATATCCTATCCACTTCCATTTACTTTTTTTAACTTCAGTACTCGCACATACTTGATCTGTTCGTTTCTAAAGTTCTTTGTTTGGTATGTGAATGAATTACCCACCACATTTTAGGAATCTGTCGCAAGCAGTTGTTTATAAAGATTTAAATTTTCTGATCAATTGACTTTGAGCATTTCCAGGTTTGAGACCCATAATACAATACTGATAAAAAAAAAAGCTTACTACACAGTAAATAATCCTTTATTCGTTCATATCCAAAATATAGATCAAACGTATATATTTAATCTTCACAACTTTTAACAATAACGTTAATAGTAAATATTGCTCTCTTAATAATTAATTTCAAATTTACTTATAATCAGTGTTATATATATAAATAATATATATATTTATAGTATTGTATAAATATATTTATATTATGTACTATATTTAAAGTATAGTACATAAATTATTTAGTTCATAAGCTTTTGTTGATTTACAATAAATTTAGTCTATAATACAACTCAAATCCAAAGTATATTGAAGTAGTGAAACTACATCAATAGGTATATAGTTTTCATTATCATATAATCATGAATTTTTAATTTTTTTTTTGAAAGCTATAGTGTCTCACATTATAGATAGAACTTTTAGTTATATTTTTGAAGACAGCTATGACATATTTCGTATTCACAAATTAGGTTATGAGTTTCAATGTTGTTGTTGTGTCCCGCCGAGATCTGCTTGTGTGACCCCTTTGGGGGATGTTGAACGGCACTTGGTCGTCTTCGACGAGAACCCATAGATTTTAATCGTATAACTTGGTTGCGGCTTTTTCATAATCCATAACTACAGTATCTCTTTCTGTAGATAATTTGCTTTATCTAACCAAATCAATATCGATTTCTTTAAATTAAATTTTATTTCACACAAAAGAGTGTGAAAAAATTATATCAGATTTTTTAAGATTCTTATAACGTATTAAAGACACCTCATCGCAGTCCTCATAGAGTATATATATCCTGAATTTGCTTAGCTCTTAGTTTTAAAGCTATTCGAATTAAATTTTGCATACATACTTTTCAGGAATAGACTGATCATTTGTCAGATTGGTTACAGTTAGTCCAGTATATCCTATAGCTGCTATATAAACTGAACAATCGAATATGTTTTTTCTGCGTTTTTATTGAAAATAGTCAAATAATAAACAAAATCTTATTCATATCGGTTCAGATTTAGATATATCTGCCATATAAATTACCGAATCAAAGCAAGGTTTTTGTTACAAAAACATTTTATTTACTAATGTGCAACAGTTCTTTTTAGTATTATTATATATAATATTAAATACATATTTTATTATATAGTATATTATATATTATATTATATATATGTTATTATATATTATATTATATATCATATTATATATATGTTATTATATATTATACATTTTATATATATATATAAAGGATAGAGCCCTGAAATTATTTGCGAAAACTGACACGCTTACCAACACCGTGTTATCAAATCTCAGAATGGTTACAAGCTAAAATGGTGGAAATTGTAGGAGAGCATTAACAAAAAAATTAGGTAGAATAAGGAATAGGGACGAGATGAAAGTTTATTTTATTTGCCCATCCTTCCACTAGTATTGGCGATAATATAATATTAGTTTTTTTTTATAATATCCTAACCTTGTATTTATATCTGTTTTTTGGACAAGTCTATAAGTTTGCCAATATTTTATAATCCGATATAATGTCAGATACTTCATATGCATAAAAATTACTTTCAGATAATACCCGTTTAAATTCGATTTTATCATAATTAGTCGTATTTACCATTTCTTGAAATGTCTTTAATAGACAGGTTTACATTTCTTTACGGCTGTTAACAGTTCTCGATAGCAATTCTCTTTCTGTTTCATGGTATTTTTAGAATTCATTGAATGAAGCATAATTCAAAATATTCTGAATCGTTGATATTTGTTATGGTCAAAGTCCAGGTTTTTATGACATATGTCCATAAAAAAACTTCTGTTAATTAAAATGTTAGAAATCAAAATATACAATCTTTATTTCAGCTTTCATTAAGCAAAAATCAGCTACTACGTATGTACGGTGTTTGCCGTCTGCATTGCTTGCGCGAACTGAATCTATCGTTCAATGGCATTCTATCAATAGAGGGCTTAAAGGATTGTATACATCTACGACAATTGAATCTCGAGGGCAACAACATAAAAACCATCGAACATTTAAACTCTAATGTTAAGCTAGAACATTTAAATTTGGCTGAAAACAGCATCGGTAGCATTTCAGATATATCGCATCTCAAATGTTTGAAGGTATAAAGATAATTTCATGTAACTTAAATGATAATTAATGCAAAAGTATTTCTGCAGGAGCTGCATTTATATGGTAATCGTTTAACTCATTTGCGTCAATGTGATAAGCACCTGCCCCAATCGTTGGAGATATTGACATTAGCAAAAAATAATATAAACGATTTAAATGAAATATGCACATTGTCAAATTTAACACACTTGCAGAGCATAACAATCAGTGAAAATCCTTGTCTCACTATGACCGCGGGCGCTGAGTAAGCACTAAATTATTTTTCAATAAATCTTCAACAATGTTATAAGCTTTCCTTTTGTTATTCTGCGTGCAGTGGTTTCGATCATAGACCGTTTGTTTTGAACTGGATCATGAGCCTAAAAGTAATAGATGGTTTTCTTGTGGATCCAATTGAGAGGTTCGTAAGAATGTGACTTATTTATATTTATTTCATTGAAGCCATTTACTTTCAGTTTGAAAGCAGAGTGGCTTTACAGTCAAGGACGTGGGCGACAATTTCGTCTTGGTGAGCAGGCTTCACTAGCAAAATATTTAAGTACTGTTTGTCCGCTAATCGGAAAGGCATTAGAGAACGAAAATGAACGTAAACTCCGATTGATCTTAAGTAAAGCACAACAGCATCAGCGACAGTTGCAAGAAGAAATATCAGAAAATTCGAATACATCTGGAAATAATTCACCATCGTCTGGACGAAAAAAAGGAGGCAGTCGAATACAATCACCTAGATGTAAGTTTTACATTATTATTTGGCTTATGTGTTATTTATTTATATTTATTAAAATCATTTTAGTTTCAAGATTAACTGGACGACAAAGTTCCCCTGAGTCAATGATAAGTAGCTATCATGGTAATACATCGAATGATCAAAGTAAATAAGTAATTTTTATTATATAAAGTATTGTACAAGATTATTATATACTTTCTGTGATAGTGACTTCAAACCATTATGTAAACATGACCACATCGTTGATTGAGAATATTAAGAACGATTCAGTTACTTCAGGCTTTGAAGGCAACATGTCAAGTAGTTCTATTAGTAACACAAACCATGTCAATTCCAAAGCAAATAGTTCACATGAATCTTCGCCTCGTACTTCAACTCCAAATCCTTATCATGGTAAATATCTGTTGTATTTTAAAAAGAATAGTTAAAACTTGTTTATCTATTGATTTAAACATAAGAGCATCTCTTTGTAATATAAATATACACACTTTTTCCGTTTGACATATAGAAGTCACAAATGTGTTGCATTATTTTTTAGAACTCTCGTTTAACAATCAAATAGGTGGACCATTGGCCGCAGCATCTAAAATGGTGCCAGTTCCGGAAACACTAATGAGTCCAGATGTTTGTCCGGTATCTGTAGCGCAACGTGTAACGGTTTCTGCTATTAGTTCCCAAATACAAAACTCTAAAATAAATAAAAACAAAGGTTGGTATGTTTTTGTAATTGAATTATCTGTAACTGCCAATTTTAATAAACTTTAAACAGAAAACAAATTAAATTCGCCGAAAATGCGTAGTCCACACTTGAAACGGAATTCTGATCGTAGTATGATTATAAGTCCTCGCAAAATTAATAATAATAACAATCAACAACAACACAATTCAGGCGTGAACAAGTGTACCTACTCACAAACCAATACCAAATCCCGGCTAATAAGTAATATACACGTATTAGCACCCGATAATGCGTCAAGCACTGTGAGTTCCGATGATGACAGCGAACACATAAATGTTGATAAGTTAAGAACAATAAGAAACAAAGCTGCGCAAAGGTATTTTTAATTAAATATTACTATTTGTTTATTGCTATTTTATTTCGTACCGATTGATGCAGGTGCCAGGAACAAAAGTCACAATCGGATAGTTCAAATATAAGTACAGTTAATACCGAATATTCCGCTGTAATTATACAAAAAACTTGGCGAGGTTATCACACGAGAAAAAAAACTAAGGATTTGGCTGAGAAACTACTGAAAAAAAGAACGTACGAGTATATCGAGTAAGTTTCAATCACATTATTGCAATGTGTTTTTAGAATATATAAGTAAATCTTTATGAAACGTTTAGTTAGCTTAGTTAATTATATTTATTTTGTAGCATTTATAACAAAACAAATAAAGTCTCAATTAAAGTAGAACATTATCTTTATTGTTGTTGTCGTAACCCGCCGGGACCTGCTTGTGGAGTCGCTTTGGAAGGTGTTGAACGGTACTTGGTCGTCGTAGGTGACGAGTGACTCCACGACGTAGACCCGACCGTTCTTGTAACCATTGTGCTCACTCGTATTAATTAATGCAAAAATTTCTAACTTGAGTCTAGCTATTCGCAAGTTTTACTAAAATTTCTAATTGCAACTGCTGCTCTTAAAGCAAATATTAAATGTAAATGCACACTCAACACTTCTTCCGTAAATCACCTTGAATTTATAAATTTTGTAAAGAGAATATTATATTGGTTTAAGGTCTACTGTATTTCTATAATCCACACAGTGTCCTCACATAATTTCCAACGATTTTAAAGAACCATATATACATCTTTTATATTATTGCCTTGTTAAATCTCTGCGGGCTATACAACCACAAAAGCACCATTGATTAATTCTGTTTCATTATTGAAAGAAAAATATTTAATTAGTTAATTAACAATAAATATATTGCAATAATTTTTAATAAATGAACAAATATTTAATTTGAATTTAGCCACTGATGACGAATATTTTACAATACTCGAAACACACAGCTATTTTTGATCAGCCAAAAATTCAATTAATTAATAATAAATAAAAATTTTGCTGTTACATTTCACTATTGTTCGAAACCGCTCTAAATGAATAAATTAAATAGTTATTGACTGGTGGAAACTATTGTTATTTATAGATTATGTTGCAAATAAATATCACTTATATTAGAATGCAATAATTTATTTATATTGAGTATTAAAAACATGTGTTCATTTATAAATTATGAATTGTTTCATTAGGAAATTTGAATTTATTGATTTCTTTTACTTTAGTAAACTAACCAAAGATATGGAAATGACGAAAGCACAGCTTGAAAATGAGCGCAAAATCCAACAGCTCCAAATGCAAGCAATTAACGCTTTATGGAAAAAAGTATCTACAATGCAGATATCGGATACCGGAAGTTTGATTAGCAACGATGGTACAGCAGTTACTTCTGAAAACAGCAAACCATTAAGTTTAGATGACTCGTCCGCAGCAGCAGTTCAAGACCTTGCAAGAACATGTGCTGTTTTAACTAATCAGGTAAAATATAGTCCTATATAATTGTGATCATATGATGTCCAATTCATTGGTGAATCCTGAAATAAAGCAAACTAACAACACGCGTTAATACTGCAAGACAATACTGCAGTAATCGGTGGTCACTCAGACCCACTCAGAAAAACTATGCAGTTCTTTTAATACTCATAGTAGAGTCTCTGGCCGCCAGAAGGAATATGTTTTCAAGGTAGTACATTTTTCAAAACCTATAACAGAGAAATACTGAACTTACTGACAGTTAGTTCTGACTATGCAGTTCTTTTAATACTCATAGTAGAGTCTCTGGCCGCCAGAAGGAATATGTTTTCAAGGTATTACATTTTTCAAAACCTATAACAGAGAAATACTGAACTTACTGACAGTTAGTTCAGTTTTATTTAATTGGAAACAATAACAGTAACAAACTAGTAACAGTATCAATATATATTTATAATTTATAAATATATAAAACTTAAAGGCATTAGTAGCTATAACTCTATATATAACTCTATATTTTTAACTGATAATTAAATATTAATTATCAATTAAAAATTAAGCAAAGATGTCTATATATAGTTGTATATAGAATTTTTTGAATATTTCTTAAAATGACTGATGATGAGTACTTGGCAATACTTGCAAAAGCCTTGTATCGCCAAATTTCAATAAATTAATCAAATCAAATTTATCAAGTTGTTGTTTCTTCATAAGACGTGTTATATTTGATAAAACGTACTATCACCACCCTCTTTACAGTATCTTAAACATGTCTCTCATTACAATATATACTTAATAAATATCGTTTATCGCAACTATATTCATCAGGTAGAACTATTTTTAATTTCATCGATTTTAAATTTACAATATATTTATATTGGTGTCGACCTCAATACTTATCTGTTTAATTTTTCAAGGCTTTAGAAATGTTATCATTTTTTAAAAATTATATTATATATATAAATTATGTTATGTATATAAAAACAAATTTAAGATTAAATAAAAAATATTACAGTTGTTTACTTATGTATATATTTCGGTCTAGACTTTCGTAGACGATCGTCAGTGTTATTATGAAAAATACTATTAAAACTGCTAAATAATTATATATATAATTTAAGTTATATTTAAGTTATAATATAAAAATATAATTTAAAAAAAAACGACCTACAGCCTGGAAAAATTAAACACACATACAATATATACTGATTGCAATTCATATTATATTTTACCGACTTTTTTATACATATACTTTATAAATGCCCTATTAATCGCATATATTATTTAAATTGATTATATATAAATAAATTATAAAGTATATATAATACACATATAATTAGCTTGTATTCAATTTACTAAAGAGAAGTCCACTATACAATATCTTTCAGGTACAACAACTACAAGGATCGATGCGTGATATACTGAACTGTCTAGCAATATTTTGTAATTTGCCGAGAGAAAATGTACAGAAACTACTATCGGCCAGTATAAATAATGCATTGTCTGATTGTTGTGGTTCGGCTGGAACGCAAACCGAAATAACTGCTGTTCATACGCCTCAAACAGAAAATCAAAGTGCTTTTCCATTCTACAAAATGCGGCCTTCTTCATTACCACTCGAAATGCAGAAACATAACAATAGCTTTATAAATACTGAAACCCATTTGCTGAATAAAACTACAGAGCCACACTTGAGTGAGACCGAAAATGAGATGATCGATAGCGAAGATGCACAAAGCACCGATAGAACTTACTATGCAATATCAGATACCACAGAAATACATGAATCACTTGCTTAAACTAAAATTCTAAACTAGGCTTACTTTGGGTTTTATCAAAATTTTTCGCTGAACTACGATAAAAATTTGAAAACTTTTATTATACAATCGCATTTATATTTAACTTATAATGTATATATTTTTTATTGATCTCTCCGAAATTGTTTTATTGACTTGTTTACGATAGGATTAGGTAGGTTTTTATTAACTACAATATAAAGCACGTTATGAGCTAAAAGTTTTGATTTCGCTTTCAATTCATTCCAAAATCGGATCACAACGTTAATTATGCAGCTTTAAATCATTAGAATTTAATTTATTTATTTAAACATTTATTTACTTATTTATACAAATCTAGTTCTTAGTTTTAGAAATGCAGCGATAAGAAATTCGAAAAAAGTGCTCTATGCAGCTTTCATTTTTAATAAGATTATTTAAAAAAAAACTTATAAACAATAAAAAAAAAATTTTTTTTAATTGTATTCACGCAATATGAAAGCTTTGAATAAAATAAATAAATATATTCTCATATTGATCAAAATGGTTTAAATTGAAATATGTACTTTGTTTGAGATCTGAATAATGTTATTCCATTATGATTGTAATTTCTTTTTTTTATTTTTATTATTTTTTTTTTGGATTAAGACGAATTATTTTAAATTTTCTTTTTTGGATTAATTCGTCTATTATTTTTTTTTGATTAATTCGTTTTTTTTATTTTTTTTTGATTAATTCGTTTTTTATTTTTTTTTGGATTAATTCATTTTTTTATTTTTTTTTTTGGATTAATTCGTTTTTTTATTTTTTATTTTTATTATTTTTTTTTGCATTAATTCGTTTTTTTTTTTTTTTACTTATGTTTTTAATAATTAATTTTTTTTTAATAATTAATTTTTTATTAATAATTAATAATTAATTTTTTTTTAATAGTTAAGTTTTTTTTTAATAATTAATTTTTTTTTAATAGTTAAGTTTTTTTTTAATAATTAATTTTTTTTTATTAACGTCCTTTAAGAAACTTATATAGTAGTTTCCGTAGTTCAAACTGCAATTGTTGAAGGTAAGTAATACGTCCATTTTCTCTTTGTTGATATATGTATAGGATCGTGTCTTTCACTGTACGTATATCTACTTTCTCAGTCTCTTTTGTGTGCAATCTATAACTACGCGTTCTACGTATATGATTATAGCTGCTTCAGATACTCAGATATTGTACCAAAAACACAGTATACTACTACTACTATTGTCTTCCCCCTTCACCTAGTGGGGCATAGGGTCTCAGAAATTCTTCTTAATCTGACTATATCTGGTGCTTCTCTGTTCCATGTATATCGTCCTTCAGCTAACTCACTTTCGATCGTTGTTCTCTACGATTCCGCTGGCACACCAGGTTTTCTGCTACTTTGTGAATTTTATGGTAACGTTTGCCTCGCTATGTAATCTGTAAACGTATGGCCTCTTCACTTTCTCATTTTTATACTCATTACAGTATACCTCTAATGAAGCTAATCTGTGCTTTAGAAAGGTCTATCGAAAAGCTTTCTCTAATTTGTAGCTCATATAGTACTCACACTATAACAATTATATTGGATCCGAGAATTATTGGTGGAATTTATTTGTAATTTTGTATGTAATTCTGATTTTGTAACACGAGCATAGGCGGAAAATTAAACAAATGAGATCTACGCGCTGAGTAATCCCACCCACTGCAATCCACACCTTCTCCCTATTCCCTCCTCTGCCATCGTCAACCACCACTCATCTACATCCTTACTCAAGTAATCGCCTTGTAAGTTCTTTAATGTTATCTGCTTTCTGGTCACAACTTACTACAACAACAACGGGCTGACCATTACTTATCTAATTAGTCATTCTTGCATTATATTAAAAAAATAATAATTTATTTTTGTAAAAACTAATATATTTTATAACTATTTTTTGTTTCAAAAATTTTTAATACAAGTTTTTGTTGAAATTGTAGTGGTGGTTTTTGTACAGGTGTCTAGATCTGCTGGTATAGGAATGCTGATTCTTATTTTTTGGTCAAACGCATCATTCGTTCTTTCAGTCCACCAGGTTTGGTATTTGTGGTTTTCACATTCTTACGAACTTGATTCTGTATTTGTTTCAGTTTGTTCATACTGCAAAAAGAAAGAGACAAAATATTAACAACCGCTTTTAATATCCATCTTTATGTTGAAGAGATTGCAACTACTTACACTTCAGTCAATGTTGTTGCTATTTCTTTTTTCCATATGTCCTTGAAATCATTACAAAAATTAGTCCAACATTCGTAGAATTGATCAGGAGTGCAATCCTTGAGCGCTTTTGTTTTCGGGGTGAAGTAATAATATCTCATGGTGTCAATAAACAGCTTCTGGCAATCCTTCCATTTGGTATGAAGATTATTAATTGAAACAGTCGCATGTTCGATAAATTCCCTCATTTTACTTCTAAATGGTTCTTGTGTTCGTTCATTGGAAGTTTGTTCAACAAGCTCTGCCGTTATTTTACAACCTTGTTAATAAACAATTGACAATATAATTAATATAAACACAATCGTAAATTTTTTTTTATTTATTTTTTCGAATAAATAAATAAATTGTGCTGTACGTTTTCAGATATATTTTTTTCTTTAGTCAAGCCTTTAATGAAGCTTTTAAATAGACTGAAAAAACAAAGGATTAAAATAGGATTACAGACAACCAGACGTATTGAACTACGTCTGTTAATACTACACCATCGTAAGCGAAAAAAAACATTATGGGGGAGCGGTTAATAGCAGCATTTGCATACCAAGGAAAAAAAAATAATGCTAGTAGCTATATAGTAGGTTAGATTATACCGGCGATTCCTGATGGATCCACCTAGGCATATTAGCCCATTGTGTTACCGTATATGTAGGAAAAACTCAGGGTTTAAAACCACCTAGAACCTTATGCGAAGCCTAAAATGCTATTTAGTTTCAGGTCTTGTAATTGATCAAGATCTTCAAGAAAGGGGGCTCCTAAAGTGTTGAGTCGCCGCCGTGCATGAGCTGGGCATCTGTACAATAATAGCATCCTACAAAAAACGAGACATCAGGGGTGTAAAATTTCAGTATTTTAAATATTTTCTTTTCTTATTAAACACTTCTGGTGCTGTATGTATAAATATTGTTCTTCAATTTATTACGAGAGAGAAAAGAAAATAAAATAGAAAAGTGCTAAGTATTAAATATGATAATGATAAGGGTTCATCATCGATTCATTTCGGAAGAGATGACTGAAATCACTTATTTTCATTACAGATAATAAAATGGAAAAGTGTTAGGTACCAACAATGACGATGATGAGGATGCATCATCGATTCATTTCGGAAGATATGGCTGAAATCACTTATTTTCATTAAAGAAAATAAAATAGAAAAGTGCTAGGTATCAACTATGATAATGATGAGGATGCATCATCGATTCATTTCGGAAGAGATAGCTGAAATCACTTATTTTTATTAAAGACACTAAAATTGTACAGTCCTAGGTATCAACCATTATCATGACCGTGAAATCAGGGAAATAGAATTAGGGCATCTGAAATCAATGTCTTAACTAACAAAGATGAGCTTGTGATTTGTAGTGAAAACGACAAGAGTCGTTAAAAGATATTCTATAGGAGTGATCAAATATGATATTTCCAGTTATAAAGACTACCGGTAATTGTGGATTCATCACTAATTTTAGCATTTTGGTTGAATATATTAGCCGCATGAACTATGCAAAATGCAAAACACTGAGGATCAAATGTGCAGTGCAGTATATTATATATGTGCAGTATATGTCATAGTTTACAGTTCAATTTCATTTGCTGCATGATAATATATACATACCTCTTATTCGTTCTTGTAAGTCTTTGATTTGTTGATTAACTTCGTCAAAATTAACTTGCGCCGCGCGTTCGACATCAGATGGTTCAGGAACGGGTAAAGGAATATCTCTAATATTTAAGCCATCCTTAATGCAACGCTGGATATATGTTCGTACAATAAAATGGAGAAGTGTTGTTTGCGATTCATTGGATTTCACATCTTTTAATTTACCAAGAATTTCTAGTGCGAAACCATCTGCTTGACCGCGTTGTCTGTTGCCAGCATTCATATAATTACCTAGTGTAAGTATAATGGAGAACACATGTTTCAACTCTTTATTTTGCATCAGAAATTGAGAGACTCGTTCAACTACTTCTAGTTTACGAGATATTTGAGTTGTAGCTTCGTCAAACTCTTGTTGAAAAACAAGGCATGACACACGTTCTGAAAACATACATATTTTGGAAATATTTAGTAAAAACATCTCTGGATAATCCAAGGGCACATCTCCTTTGGCCGCTTCATTTATTATTTCTAATTCTTCTTCAGTCCCCTGAATACTAATAATTTGCTGGAGCGTCTCTAAACTAACAAGGGATGTATCAATATTACACACACCTTGTTCTATTTCTTCAACATCGCAGTGCAAACTACGCGCTAAAATTCCAATGCTTTGTGAACGTTTACTACTCAGCACCTTAATAGTCTTAACACGAACTTCTTTTTTTTCTTTGGGCTTTACAGCCGATATAACTGCTTGCCTGGAGAAGAGTTCGGTAAATTCATCCAAGTTGTCTAAATTCATGTCGTCTATTAACTGCCAAATTTGTTTTGATATCATTTTATTAGTTGATTCGTTCAATGAACTATTTTCCATTTCTATTCCTTCGTCAGGAGCGTCGCGGCTAGGAGCAGGTAATGGTGGTGGTGATGTCACTATCCTTGTCCACCATAGAGGTCTCATAGGCTTTGGTGGATTTAAAACATTTTTACGCGAAACTGTATGGAAACATTGAATATTTTTTTATTAATTCATTTTTATTAGTCAATAAAAATTTGATTAAACAACTTATTTTTTTAAATTTTAAATATTTCTACTGTATTTGATAAGGCTCCATGTTTGTTAACAAAAACGTAAAACTACAAGAAATTCTTTCTAACCGTAATATTTTTCCATCAATAATTTTTACTGCTCGCCCTATATAGGATTATGTATTTTGTGGTCCGAAAAGTAAATAGGGTATATTGAAATTTCGATATAATTTTCATTTGAATATATGGTTTGGACCTTGCCAATAAATGTGTAATGCAACATCAGTCAAGTGTCCTTCCAGAGATATAGTACAGTCTCAATCCTTTTGACATAATTTACGGTGAGTTACCGGCGCGAAACTTAGTAAGCAATAAATTGGACATACTAAGACATACTGAGAGATGGAGCATTGTCTGCATAAATATAATCCTTCAGAAAAAAATATTACACCCGAAAATGTTGGTTATTATATGACTGCAGCGATTAGATTAGAAATTTGTATTACATCTTAGTTTCAAAAAAGTACTGACCTATCACACCTGCAGACCAAATGCCACAACATATAGTGTTTGTTGTGGATTTTCATTGAACCAGATGCAAAAATTTTGTTTGTTGACATATACATCAAGCAAAATATTAGACTTATCAATTAAGAAAAGTCAATGCGGAAAGGACCTACTATATAGTCACAATTTTTGTAGTAAGTTTTCGCAATTAGCATTGTCTTTGCACAAAATTTTCAATCTACATTGATTCTTTTATTCATTTATGTGATTATATACATATATAATATAATATATAAAAATACTAATAAAAGCTGCAATATAGTTTTTTTTCACGTTTATATGTCGTCAGCTATTAAAGGTGGAACAGTTTTGAGAACATTATATCTATATAATAAGATTAATCTGAAGCATCACTTTATACGAAAGTTTCATTCAAATATGAACCGATCGATATCATTTTAACCGGGAACATTGTATTCTAAAGCTGATCAATATTACAAGCAAAAACATTGAAAAACAAAAACAACTTCCTAATAAAAACATCTGGCCAATTAATCGGTTTATATGCGAACCATATCCACATATGAAGCGATCTATTTTGTTACACAGGTTGCATTGATATACCATATGCTTATGTTTAAACTCCAAATTTAAAGTATATACATCAGGAAATAAAAACAGTTTCTCTGACGAAAACATTTCTCAATATCAGCAGTTATGTGCCAACTATATCTAAATCTAAACCGATCTAATAATATTCTTTTATATGAATAAAAATTAAATTAAATTTGGGTTATTTTGTTCCAAATTTATTGGTAAAAATGTACCATTTATATACCAATCCATAATGTTGTCTGTTTTGGATTAACTTTTGAAATAATGATATTTTTCGGAAAACCGAATGTTTGATCAAGTGATTAGGGGGAAACATCTTCCTCTTTTTGTACCACTTTTTTAAGCTATTAATATTTTAACTGGCGCAGATGAACGATGCTCAATCAAGGTTCAAAGAACGGTCAGGTCTACGTCCCGGAGCCACTCGTTACTTACGACGACCAAGTACCGTTCAACACCTCCCAAAGGGACTCCACAAGGAGGTTCCGGCGGGTTACAACAAGAACAACGATGCTCAATAACGAGTATTGATGTGCTCTGTTCTTAGTTTTATTTCATCGATCACCAAAAGCAATCTAAAAACAGATGAAAACTCAAGTAAAAAAATCAAGTTCTTATTTCTCAATGTTCTCATTTCTAAGAGCTCTAATTTTTAAGCATCTACTGTAATGTCCTGGATAACAGTTCTGTTTGATATGTTATATGTCAGTAAAATAGTATTGTCAAATCAAGAACACAAAATGGATAATTCATAAAAACAGCTTGTTTTCCCTGTTTTAGTATCTTATTAGATACAGTGAATGAAAGTAAAACTACATGTACTTGTACTTCTATATCCTTGATATTGACTACAACACTATAAGTTTTAATTGATATTTGTAAATTATAAGCTTACCATTTTCCTTAAACCAGCCACCTTCTACAGCACTTGGTAGAGGTTTAGGTAAATTATCAGGAGATGTGTTGATACTAGGTACTTCATGTGTATCACGTTTTTTATCACAAACTAAATTCAACGCGGCAGCTGGTGGTGGAGGAGGAGCTGGTGTTATATTAGCGATGGGAATAGGTGGCGGTGGCGGTAATGGCGGTTCTATTATACCTGAAGTTGATGATGAAGAAAAAGACGGTGGAGGTGGAGGCACAGGTGTTATAATTAACTCTCCGTTTGAATTTAATAAAAGAGGTGGGGGCACCGGTGGAGTAAAAGGTGAATCAACAGATGTTTGTTTTTTTACGTCGTCGTCTACAGTATCCTTGTCATTTTGTAGTTCTTCCACACTAACTTGCACATACTGATTGATCATAATTTTATAATTTTGATTGACTGATTTGCATTTAATGCATAAAGTCTCAGTTTTTATCACATTTGAGTCGGTTTGAGCCGCTTGATCTACCATATTCGGTTTCAACCAAGTTTTGTTTTGACCATTTTCGAATACTGCATTGTTATTAGACTCCAGTAACTCGGACAGTTCGCATGTTCCTCGATTTTCTGTAATAGAAAAATCTGACAAGTCATGCAATTCTTCACGCTCGTCTTCACTATTAGGTACATTAGCAATATATCGTGGCAATCGAATAAAAGAGTTTTTAGCCTCAGCAGGTAGCGTTTCAGTTTGTATAGTTAATGGTACAGTTTTACCATTTGGTGTAATGACGGGTAGTTTCAGTACACCATTTTCAGAAGGAGTTGATGACAACGCAAATGTTTCTCTTGGTGATTCTGTGTGCGTCCATTGGTATGTGCTCATTAACTAAAAAAGAGAAGCATAAAATTATTTTAAATATTCAACATATTTTTTTTTTTGGTTAGAGATCAATTTTTACATTTTGTAATATATAACTACTGTTTTCAAGTCTTAAAAAACATAGTATATACGTAGTATCAACTTATTTTAATAGAGTTTTACTTAGGAAACTATTTCTTATATATACAAACTGATGCGGTCTTGCAAGTCTACACTTACCCTGTTTATACGATTACAGAACCTATGTTGTGATTCGAACCGATTTACTTGAAATTGTACATATAAAAGCACTCTTAAATGCATTGAAACTTTAGGAGTGTTACAATAAAGCGCATCGAAAATGCGAATTAAGCACCAAAAATGACGTCAGCCAGTTCTGGGTTTAAAATGCCTCCCAAAGGTACCCTTCATCGATGACCAAGTGCTCTTCAACACCTCCCAGAGAGACTATACAAGCATATCTCAGCGGGCAACAACAACGTCAGCCTATAGATGCAACGAAGAGTTGTCCTTGTCACTAGATCACACGTTGACCTGGGTAGAGATTGAGATATAAAGACATTTTCCGACAATCGACTCATGCTTTTTAAGTCTCTTATCATGTATGTCTTACAGTATGGTGCAAAATATTGGTCAGAAATCAAGTGATAAAAATGTATTAGAGGCATTCAACAAGAAAATTTTTCAAATGATATATGTTACTATATGCGGTATTGAAATCGAGAGAACAATGAGTTATATTAGCTGTACTGTAACATTCACATAGTTAAGAATATTAAAATTCAGCGTTTTCGGTTAGAAATATGTTTGATTCGATACTCGCTGATGGAAAACATGGTAGAGAGCGTAAGAAAATTTGGTGGAAGGTCCAGGTGTCGAATGGGACAAGCATTCGGTACTACTAATAGGCGATAGAAGATTACCGTTACTTGATACGGCTATGTTTAAAACACTTATTTAAGGATCAACTGAGAAGAAGAAAGAGAATAATAAGGAAATATATAATTGGTAATTGCAAATAGCTTTGTTTTTCAAAATATTCTTCGCCTTTGAACCATCTGTCATACCTTAATTCGGTTGGAAACACCATAACCGATTAAAATCTTTGATATAATTAATTATAAGCAATTAGATGTCACATCACATATTTTTACTGGAGATAACCATTTAATTTAATGTTTTAGGTTTTCAAAAATTTACTGTTTTTAACGGATATGTGAGAACTCATATTCTTACGATGGAGAATTATCCATCTTTGGCGGTATGTTTTACCTTATTGTTTCGTAATCAAACGGGGACATATTCTATAGAGTTGATCGTTCAACGTTGCCCTACTGGTACTATTGTTTCATGCCGAGTTTGTATAAAAAAAGGAAGAGATTAAAACGTATATTTTTTAAATTGATTTAAAGTTAATATAACAGACACCTTTTTTAAACAGGAAGAGGTAATAATAACTGAGCAATATCCCAATATATTAGAACAAACCCGTAAACATATTTTCTACGTCATAACTCGACATCTGTCATTGCATTTTTTAAGCATTTCTTTACACCAATTCTCACTAGCATATTTTTAAGCTCCCATTAAATTATGTGGAACCAATAAGAGCAAATTTTTTTCATAGTTAAATATGATTAATCAATAATATATATATACTAATAAAACTAATCCCTATGTCACAGATTTACTTACATTGAATACTTCTAAATCAGATTTTTCAGGAACTTGTTTTAAAACGCCAATACCAACGAGATTGTTGCAGTAATGCATTGTTATGGCGTTAAGATCTTGTTCGCTAATTTTTACATCCGTAGACAAAGGAACTGAGGAGATAAACCATTTTAAAAGCAGGTGACCTGAAAATTAAAAAAATTAATTAAATTTTGAAATAAAATCAAGATTAGAAAGCGACATTTAAATACATAGTATTAATGTGTCATTGGTTATATAAGTTCTTATAATGAACTTGATTCTCGAAACCAATATTCATAGTTTAAAGACTTTTTGCCAGAATTTATTTGTGGTACATGCAGATTTACTTTAATAAAGGGTTTTTTTGTAAAGCATAGCAATTGACTTCCCAATTCCTGCATCGAAAATAATGCCATGCCATACATTAAAAGTATTTCTTCTTGTAGAATATAGTACCAACTGTAAACGCATATTATGGGAAAGGAGGAAATAAGTAAGTAAAAAAAAGTCAGCCATTTTGTTATTTCACTTAAATGTTAAACTAGTCATATTCATATCTCCGAGCTTATGGTCAAATCAAAGATATCAACCACTTCTTGATCCAAGTATGGTGGCAAATAAAATAATTTACATGCAGAGAATTGGATGGTATATAACTAGATATCCCTTTCAGATCATAGCTAAGTAAGGTTCAATAATAGATAACCAAATGATATATTAAATCTTTCACGCAACCCTAGGGATATAAGCTATAATGAATTGTGTAATCAAGCCAGACAAGCGAAACTAAGTCAAGCACTGCAGCAATTCTTGAGAACAATAAAAGCAGTGGAAGAAAAACTCTACAAATATGTATATGATGCCATCCTTCTTCGGTCTTTTGATTTAAAAGAAAAATCTATTCACCATGGTGAAATATGGAATTATTTAGAAAAGGAAAATAGTAATGTCTGCAATTCTAAATTAAAACTTATAGAGTAAACAGCAAGACGGAAGAGAAGCTTTAAAATGAATTAACAACACAGCTAGGCTCTGTAAGTTGTTGTTAACGAAGCATTTTTGTCTTAATCCCCTGAAAGAGAAGTATAGGAAGAATACAGAGATTACTAAGAAATCCCTAAATATACTTCTCGATACTTACTTTCTTGAAAATATAGAGTTGAGTTCATAACTACTTTGCTGAAGATGTCGCAATACACAGCAAATAACAGAAAGCTCGTCAGAATCATTGACAATTAAATTGTTTCAGTCATTCAAGAGTATATAAAGAATTTGGCAAACCAGATAATAGCTTAGCCAGAGAGATCAGAATAATTAATTTAGCCTATAAACATAAAAGCTATGTTATCTATGGGCAACTGCAGAATAGTATAATCACAAGATTTCCAAATAAAAAGATACTTCAAGGTTACCTTTTTCCACCTCAACTTTAGCTCACCGCCACGACTATTATGCAATTTGTCACCACTGAAATTTTTTAGTGGGGTTACGTAAAGCATAATTTCAATGATCATGGAGATCTTATCTAAAAGATAACTTAAGTTAAAATCAAAATACTCTCAGATAATCAATCAGTTCTCAAACCTCTAAACAGCTACACATTCTCATCAAAAGACATTATAGAGTGTAACAATACACTTAATCAACCACCTAGAACCATGTCTCTTTGATTTGGATACCCAAACGAAGGACACGAAGACAACGAAAAGACGGACCTTTAGACACAAAATTTTAGGTGCATGCCAACTAGAGAATGAAGATCTTGAAAAACTCCCTCCGAAGGAGCTGGTTCGATTCCTCAAGATACTAAATGTCTAAATACAAAGGGGTGCACAATAGATCAAGCTGTTCGCAGTACATAAAAGCCTTAGTATAACCCATAAACCATTACTATTACCAAAGCATAATACGAGTATAAAGACATTCGTTCACTTCTCAATGCTGTAAATGCTGTGCCACACAAGTGACAGGTTTAGTTCAAATTATTTTTTGATATGTGCCGACAAGTCATAGAAAACTACCTCAAAAGAACCCATTGTTATAAGATATGTCATGGAGCATATTTGAACGATGTTTTTCACAACTAACGGCGAGGTTTAAATAATATATTAAAATAGAAATTTCAAACTGTATTTATATTTACTTTTGGAATCACAAAATAGATAATTCTGTATACTTAATATGTTTCAATTTTATATTTAGCACAGTAATTTACTGGTAGTTTACAATGTAGCATATTACAATGTAAACCATGGTGAGAAAAGAGTACTCTGTTTGTACTGCGAGGTCGCTAGAACATTATGGCCTACTTTGGACAAAAATAAAACAAAAAGCCTTTTATGCTTAAGCAAATCTGCAGTTCTTGTACTTATTAGAGTACTAACGTGACATTGTGACATTGCGTCTATGCTCCAATGGTGACGAGTCCACTTTCTGTGTCTCTATACAGGACTTTAGACAAGGCGACTTCAATGTCTTGGGGGTCGCTTTTTAACTAGCTTAGAAGAGATAACGAAAGTAAACTTATCGGATCTCATCAACTTCATCTGAAAAACCAAATGCTTTAACAAGGATAACAAAGGTTAGCAACTCGCCTCTCCCAGCAAATTTTTTGAGGACATCACAATGGGTAATACATGCCTCTGACTGCAAGTGCTGACTATTGTCAGCGCGTGCCTTCTGAACCTAACCTTGTATGTACACAAACATTTTTGAAAACCTGAAAAATTAACCTTTAGGCCTGAGTCATGAAATTGAAGACGAACCGATATCTTGTACAGCACTATTGTATCAAACCTTAGAGTGACCGCTGATTTAAATATAGTGTCGTAGCTAAAAACTATGTTCTCTTGGTTAAAATAAATTCTTTGTCTTGGAAACACCAGCGAATACTTAAAAAAGTAATTTAATCTAAAATTATAAATATATTTAGCAGCAGACTTTTTGTAATGTCTGATTAAAGTGAATAATAGATAATTATATTCACTTTCGTTATAGCGTAATGTGTTCAGTTATTTCAAAACTTAATAAATAAAATTTGTCTTTAGTTATAAAATATTAACTATAAGGTTATAGCTATACTTAGTTAGCTATAAAGTATATAGCTTGCAGAAAATCTAACCTCAAGATGAAATGCAAATTGTGGACAACTTCATAAATTTGGTACAATGGAAATGGTTTTGTGGGTTGCTCTAGTGAAACTTACGTAAAATAAGAAACAAAGAAGTCTCGTCTTCATATAATCGCCATACGTAACAGATTTTTTGAATATTGTCAGCGTTTGTCATTGAGAAGAGGTTATAATATGCTCGGTGCCACAGCTTCCTATCGCGAACTGGAATGCTACTGCTCATCATAACGATTTGATCTGATGACTGTGAAAATAGTGTCCCAGCCACTGATGCTGACTTTGGTTGAGCAGTAGTTTTTTTTTTGATTTTGATTCTTGTTGGTGTTAGTAACATGGGGATCTTTTCAGCTCTCGGTGTTCTTTCAACATCATCTGATTCTGAAATTTCTTCTGATATTTCACTTATTGGTGTTCTGGTTTCTGCAGTTGTTGATGGTACCGTATTTGTTATATGCGAACTATCGACAGTGTCCACGCTCTTTTCATCAACCCACGTAATTGCGTTCAATGATTGCATAGGAGTTTGAAGCAATATATTAGAATTTCCGTTTTGTTCGTGGTGTTCTGGTTTGTTTACATAGGCCTGGTTATTAGAGAAGTTCTTAGTAAACAATTGACACCAAACATTTGAAAGATAACATTTTTCGTTTGGTGTTTGTATAAATGTGGGCGATAATATCGTTCCCGTTGTATTCTTCTGCTGGTAAATTACTGGCAACATGTCTTTTTGTTTTCGTTTCCAATTTGATATGGTGAATTTTGTAACTCAGCTCTCAGTAATTAAATACTCAACGAGATAATGAAATTTAAAAAAAAAATTTGATATATGTATTTATATCATTTGCGGCACATCTTTGCTCTTCTGTCGTTGGATCTGTGGGAATTTATCTATACAATTCCGTTCTGAACTTTACAATGATTACTTTTTTTTCTTTATTATATTTACAAACTAATAAACGAACAGTGATTGAGATACTGACTTATGTGGAAAAAATATTTTGGTAAAGTCAAAGTCAATTAATGCGCAGCGCACGGGTACAATCACAATTACTAATCGCAGCTCTTATCTATACGTTAGACGATAATTAAAATGACTTTTGCTGTCATACTATTTATAAAATACTGTAAAAAAAGTTCACTGTAAATTTAAAACACTATTTGTGAGTCACAAGTGCAGGGGATTTGTTTGGGAGAGGTTTCAATTTCCAAATGCCCAGTGGTAAATTCATTGGTGAAATTCATCATTGATGCCTGTTTTCAAAAGCGCTCATGAATAGACAAATTTTTGTCTATCGGTGCGGTTCACGAGCGGTGGATTGTATCTATTCTTAAGAGTCTGTTCAGTTCAACGCGTCATTTCAAGTAAAGAGACCAGTTAAAAATGTAGTGCGCACATTTTGGTATAGAATTATTTATTGGCAAAGTGTAGAGACTCTTCTCTCTTCAAGTACTATCGAATAATTAAATTTAAATTTTAACAAATTAGGTATATAAAAATTTATTATTAATTTTAATAAATTTTTATTTGTGTTAAGTTTCTCTTCTATTGAAATAGATTCTCATAAAATATTATTTAATACTATATCTTCTTTTATTAACTGAAGTAATTTATCAAAAGATTTTATTAAAATTCTGAAATTTACACCTCATAATACTATCAGTTAACTTATCTCTTTATATTGAAATAAGCATACCTAACCAATACGGTGTGCTTCCATTTTACCACTGGCACATTTCCTAATGCGGCATTATAGCGCTTAGTGTGTATGGCTACGGTTCGAAAATACTTATGTTGAAAGCATCTAGGATGAACAAGCCCTCTGGGTCCCGCAGCCAATCACTATTCCCAATAGTGATCCGGATGGATTATCACAACAACAATATAAATTCTTTTATATTGATATAAATAATATTTCCTTCATATAAATATAAATTCCTTTATTTCATCGATGTTCCTTCAGTCGAGTGGTCTTGTACGATAATTTTTAAATATTTTATACTACTCTTATATTTGATAAACAGTTTTCATAAACTTTAGTCGATATTTTCAATAGGCACAAAAAATTTCGTTGGTACAATAAAATATTATGTGAGATCTTTGTTTCAATAAACTACTCATGGTAGAAATCGCAGAATCAATTTGAAGTAAACAAAATCGAAAGGTTTTAAAAATGACCGGATCTACTCGTTGGTCCCGGAGCCATTCGTCAATCTAGACGACCAAACTAATTAATAGATCACTTTAAAACTTAGCGTCATAATATGTCACACTGCTATCTGCTGCTATTCACAGTTCTACTAGAGAAAATCGAAATACTATATGGACGGAAATTCAAAAATATAATATACTATTAATAATAATAATAATACGAACAATGAGAGAGAGAGAGAGAAATAAACACTCGCACAAAATACAACAGTTAATAAATATCTATATTGCTATATACGACGACAGACTTTCTTTGTATGCTTTTAGTCAAATCCTTAAGCTCCAACATAATAAGTATATTATTATTTGAAAAGGCCTAAAAGGTCTAACCTAAAACCTAAAAGGCCTATTGTGCTCCTTAGCCGAATTAGAATGTTTCTACAAGTTCGATTTCTTTAATGAAAGACAGTATAGAGTCTATCTTTCATAATCTTGAATCCTTATGGTCTATGAAATACTCTCATAGGTGTTTCTTCTGCTTGTGCATCAGTGCCGGGCACTCCCCCAAACACATACAGGCCTATTCTGAATCGCAAGGGAATGCGAGTTTGTTCGCTGTTCCCAATTCCCCTATTCTGAATAAATTTGGTATGTTCCCTGTTCCCAATTCCCCTATTCTGAATCGCATGCGAATGTGAGTTTTTTCCTAATTTTGCACAAATTCTCTCGCTACCAAATTGTTGGGGAGACAAGTTAAAAAAGTATTAAAAATAGTTTAATTTAATATAAAAGTAACTGAAAATGATCAGATTTTTGAATATATTTTAATAAAATTATTATTTTAATAAAATTATTACAATAAATTTAATATTTTCAAAGTTTTATTTTTATATTTTATCCACAAGAGTTGATTAGTTTTCCGCATATATATTAATAAAATTATTTGAATAAATTTAATATAACAAAATTTTCATTTAATATATTTTATTAAAATTATTATTTTAATAATATTATAACAAATTTGAAATATTTAAATTTTTATTTATTTATTTTATTAACACGGGTTTTTTTCACTAATTAAAGTGTTAACTATTGTTTTTAAAACAATAGAAAAATGAAAGGAGACCAAATTCTGAAATGAATGGGATTCCTAGAATAAGTTAAAATAAACTTTTGCAATTATGTGCAGGTAAAACATTGCTTCTTTTTTATTGTAACATCTGCACAATTATAAACTATTATTAGTTCATTAATTGAAGCATGAAGGACATTTCTATCCTAATTATATAAAAAAATTAAATTATAATTTACGCCAATTTTGTATAAAAGCAGTGAATGTTTGAAAATAAAGACATTGAAGAATTGATATCATAATGTAAGGTTGTTTTTTAATTAGTTTAAAAAAGAGTTCAAAATTTAGAATTTAGCATTTGGTTTATTTTGCTCATGCATAATTCTTTTTATATATTTATTTTACTCATTAAAATAAAAGTTTCTAATTGTTTATTATTTACTCATAAAATAACTTATATTTATTTCCGATAATTTGTGCAGCAAACAAATAATGCGATTTTTACATTTAAATCAACATATGATACGCAATTCTTTTCTTTGTTTTGCTCATTTTCTCACTTTTCGTCATTAAAAAGTGGCATGGTTGCCAAAATTTAACAAAACAAATTTGAAATTGTTGTTGTTCACGAAACTGCTGTCTCCCTAGCGATTCAGAATAAGGGAGCTGTGTGTTCGGGAACAGCGTGCGAATAGGGAGTTTTTTCGCTGGGAGTATTCAGAATAGGCCTGATAATATGCAGTTTCTCTCTCCTCTCTACAGTATCTGCAGTCTGAGTTGGATTGAATTATTCAATTTACAGTGACCGGTCAATAATCCCGTGATGATTCTTAGGTTATTTTTTGATTGTTCTACGCAATCTTTGAAGTATTTTAGGCTTTATAAATATAAATATTTTAAGTATCAAAGAAATATGAAATGAGTGACTTATTATTACTTTTAATATAGCATTTTAATCTTTTGTTTAATTTCATGACATAAAAGCGTATGTTATTCCGGTTAGTTACATCAAGTGTAATAATAGGTTTTTTAAAATGTTATCTGTAAAGAAAAACAACAAAACCAAATCCCTGAGGAAGAACATTAAAAATAAATATCGTAAATGCTATCCTCATAATTTAACTGTATTAACAAAATAAAAAACTTTAAAACTTTTAGGTATTGCGCTTCAAGCCGAGAAGTTTTAAATATCATTTTATTCAATATATTGTTTAGGATCCAATCGGAATATCCAGATTCAGTTTCGAAATGTCAATTTTAGTAAATCAATTCAGTACTTTTACAGTAAAATAATGTATTTAAAGTAGTATAAGTAGTGACTGTAATACAAATAAAGTGGACTATACTATATTTGGTTTGTGGTAGAATAAAGAGTATTCGAAGTTTTAGAATTTCTCTAAAAATTACTTTATTAATTACAGAGTCACAATTCTTAGAAACTCACTTTAAAAAATTGACTTAAAAATATATTATAATATAATACATATATATAAAATACATATTAGCTTTATATAATACATATAAACTATTTAAAAAATTAATTTATAACTTTCAATTATTATAATTAAACAAAAACTTCTTTACGAAAAAGTTAATGGGGTCTTAAAAAAATTTTTTCCATTTATATTATATTATTGATAATAATACAATATATGTTATATTAATATATATAATTTTTATTTTATATTAATCAATATAGATATTTATTAAACTTGAAAGAGAAAGAGTAATTAGAACTGACACAAACGTGATGTGATTTACATGGCGGAAATATTTACATAATTATAAATAATATATTATATTAATATAAATTTAGCAAAAATTTAAACTAAATAAACTTACCTTCAAACTTTTCAGAGGCATTGAAGTTTAATTTTTCTGGAACACAACAGAGCAAACGCTTCGCACCACCACTTATTATAGCGGCGGTGGAAGGTGGTGTCTTCTCAACCATGAATGATGCTACTTTCTTAAGGACGTAACCTTTGGTTGTACTGGGTGATCGTTCATCTTTTTGAAAAAAATAGAAAAATTAATAGTACATGTTAGAAAGAATGAAAAATTAAGTACAATAAAATAATGATAATAATAAAATACAATAATAATAATAATAAAAAGGGTAAAAAATTAAAAAAAAAAAAACATTTTAATCAATGCTTACTTAATATTTCTCCACGAACTTAAGCGTTTCTTATAAAAAGAGTCCAAATTCAATCTATTTAAAAATAGTGACACTCAACAGAACAGGATCGGTGTCGAAAGAGCTGAATTCAGATACTTATTTAATTCTTAAGTATCTTAAATATTGTTATATTTTCTAAGTCAATAATAATGAGACCGCGTCTTAGAAAATATTATTCGCTTAAGTAAGGGAAGTAAAAATTTATTTTTTTTCTAAAATTCTAAATAAAGAACGAGATTGCACCCTTTGAACATTTTTTATTAAACAATTTCAACAATTTTACGAATTTAATTTGATTCTAATAAAAAAATATGATCTTAAAACAAGAATATGTCAAACCAAATAGTTTTTGTTTATACTTAAAAATATAAATGGATTGCTTAAAATTAAAAATTTTACATATTATTTAGTAATTGTATATTCCTATAGATCAACAAAGGTGTTATTGTACGGCCTGGCCTCCATCTATCAAAGGTCTTTTGTCAGACAGTGTTGCACTTTTTAATATTAATTTTCTATGTTCTACTCCATAATGTTGAGTCTACGTCAAAAAGTATAATTGACTCCGCTTGTTTCCAAGTATATATTTTACCTTTTATACATATATTACATGCATTAAATTGGCGGTCGATGCTAGGGTACAGTCCCTGCGGTCGAAACAAACTGACCATTTTTATTGAATCAAGCCGAAATTTGGGCACCAGTTGATCATCATCAGGACAATTTGATTTTTATATATACGGTTGGAACATTTTTCATAAGCAACTATCAAGGCGATCAATTAAGAAATATGTTGTTGACAAAGATCTTACTTCCAAACTTGAATAAGTCCAAATGGAAATACTATGTAAAAATAAAAACGGACATTCTATACATATTCCCTTATTCGTGATATAATAATAAATATATATTTCAAAATGATCAAAACTAGTTATATTCAAATTAAATTCTGTGCGATATATGAGAATTTCGTACGGAACTATATTTCAATGTTATGGTTTTTTTTACCTTATCAACTAATAACATGTTCCCACTGCAGCTAAATCAACTGATATTAATAAAGTTAAAATTTGGTCATTCCCATAGCGATAAGTTGATTTATTACATGTGAAAGAATTTGTATGTGTTAAAAGGTTCTGTGAAAGTTCTAGGAATCGTTTCTAGGAATTTCTAGTTCTAGGAATTTTTAAAAACAACCAATAAGCATTACTTTCAACAACAATTTCGAAAAGAAAATTATTTAGAAAAGAACGAAGAAATTTTAGGAAGAGGTATGCCAAAAAAACTGTCCAGATTAAGTATATATTTTATTTATAAACAAACAAACATTTTAAGAAATTCTTACCCCTGACTTGTTTGTTTTTTGTTTTTTACATTTTGTTTCATTTCCCTTTTAGGAAATATATTTTGCAATTGTATTCGATATATTTGGGGTAATTTCATTTAATTTAATCTTAAATTCGTTGATTTGCACTAAAGCTTCTTGTAGAGTAAATCAGCTTCATTAGCGACAAATGCAAATACATTGCTTTAATGAAGGCAATGGAAACATACTATAATGCGTATTATAATGGCTTCTGCATTATACACTATTTATGGTGCATTTCATATGGTCCATTTCATTAACATATCGATAATAGGTATTGTTCAGTGGATGAACAACAACAAATCACAAACCAAAACAATTAGCTCAAGCTGGGTTTACAATGAGTTCTATATTCTATATGAGTCCAATATGCTATATTACACATAGTCATTTACAAATAAATTTAAATTGTTAAAATGCTTCAAATCAAAAAAAGAAGAAAATTCTAAGGCCTATGTTATGTAGAGTGTCACGGGCACGTCAAAATCAAATTTGTTGTTATTTTCAATGCAAATTAAAAAACTGACAGTGAGAGAAAAAATGGTTACAATTGGATCATGAGAGCCGAAGCTCTCTGCGCTTTGGCACTTAGTTAAAGTCGTGTTATATGAATATAGTATATTTTCTTCAAAATTTAGGTACAACCAAAAAGTGATAGTAAAAGTACGAAATTAACAAACTGATGTGACACTCTGTATAACATGTATTTTCCTCATAGCATGGGATAAACAAGTGAGAGAGAAAATGAAAGTGAAAAACAAGGAAGAGAGAAACAAAGAGAGATAGAAATACAAAGAGAGAAAAAAAAGAAAGAGAGAAAGAAAGAAAGAGAGAAAGAAAGAAAGAGAGAAAGAAAGAAAGAGAGAAAGAAAGAAAGAGAGAAAGAAAGAGAGAAAGAAAGAAAGAGAGAAAGAAAGAAAGAGAGAAAGAAAGAAAGAGAGAAAGAAAGAAAGAGAGAAAGAAAGAAAGAGAGATAGACATACAAAGAGACAGAAAAAAGAAAGAGAGAAAGAAAGAGAGAGAAAGAAACAAAGAGAGAGAAAGAGAGAGAGAGAAACAAAGAGAGAGAAAGAGAGAGAGAAACAAAGAGATAGAGAGAGAAAGAGAGAGAGAGAGAAAGAGAGAGAGAGAGAAAGAGAGAGAGAGAGAAAGAGAGAGAGAGAGAAAGAGAGAGAGAAACAAAGACAGAGAGAAATTACGATAGAGATGGAAACAAAGACAAAGAGAGAAACAAAAACAGAGATAGAAACAAGGACAGAGAGAGAAACAGAGATAGAGAGAGAAACAAAGTTAAAGAGAGAAACAAGTGTAGAAAAAGAAACAAAGACAGACATTAAAACAAAAATAGAGAGAGAAACAAAGAGAGTGATAAACACAAAGAGAGTGATAAAAACAAAGAGAGTGATTGAAACAAAGAGAGTGATAGAAAGATAAAGAGTGATAGAAACAAAGAGAGTAATAGAAACAAAGGGAACGATTGATATAAAGAGAGAAAGAGAGGGAGAGAAACGAAGAGAAAGAGATGTAGATGTCAGAAAAAGCTACTAAAAGCAACGTTTTAAATGAAAAGTTCTTTTTTGATAGGGTATACCTTAGCATTCAAATTTATTTACTGTCCATTTATTTATTTATCTATATTTAGATATTTTCTACAAACTTGTGATTTCAGGTTTTCCCGGATCTTTTTTTTTTTTTGCAATTTAAGTAAAAAGCTCTTTCAATGCTGTCAGTTAGACTATTAAACACTTGAGGTACTATACCGTTTAAAGTTGCATGATTGAATTTAAGATATGCTCAATAATTTGAGAAAAATTTGTGAACTCACCTGTAAGTGGACTGTCTTGAGAGAAACGTGAAGACAGATTCTGCAAATCAATCTTTTTTGCTTTGGCAATATTGAAAATGTCATTATTGTTTAGCAGCACCGTTTGTTCATCAGAACTACCTGTAAATAATATTAAAAAATTATAAATTAACATTGCAATAAAATTTTTAAAAAGAATTTTGTTGTTTTTATTTAGTTGATATGGTTTGAACAGTGGTAAGAATGTATCAAGCAATTATACAGGTGGTGATCCTAGCTTTATCACAGCTTATATGTTTGACTGTATGTTATTTAACAAGATTTATGTAAAGATTTTAGAAATATGTAGAACAGATTTCAACTTTGCAATTTAATGATAATGTAGTTAAATGAATTTAAAATAAATATTAAAAACATTAAATTAAACCATTAACAAAATTATAGCCACTTCCCATTATTATATATAGTGAATACAGCATACAGCAGCAAATGTTCGAAGACTAGGTAATGTTCAGATGTTTTCACACGAACATCAAAATGCTCTAAGCTTTGATTGGCTCAGAAATATCTATGGCTCCAGTTTGAACTGATTCCTTCATCGGTGACCGATTCTTTGTCGTAGATATACACAGCATATGTTTATTTACTACAAAGTTGCAGCAGATTGAACACTCTTCTGTGGTTTCAAATAGATCTTTTCCGAACCAGAATCAATTATTTCAACAGATGGCCTTTTGGACCACTTCAGCTCAATCATCTGATTAGCGGTCTAGTTCAATACCTGTAGATGCTCACCCTACAAACGTCCGCAACTTAAATTTTTGTGCATTTTTATAAATAAAAAAAAATGAATTTAAATATAAATCAAACAACACAATTATTTGAAACATAAAATATAATTTCTTTATTTTTAAATATATTTTTCACAAAATATTGGCTTTGAGCACTTTTATTTTATTCTTTCAAAAATATTAAAATTTATTTTAATGTAAAATTGCATCAACTCAAACTTAGGTTCTGTGTTCAAGTGAATATAAAGACAGTTTCTAATTCAAATTAATTAACTTATATACTATCTAGAAATTGTATTTTTCTTATTGGTGATAGGGGCGCGAAAGGGTGAAAAAATATTTAGTAACGTGTTGACAAATGAAGGTCATATGATTGCAATTTCTATTAAGTTAGTAACGATCTTGTCAAAACTACACTAAAAAAATGCATACACCATTATTAAGAAATGACGTTAAACTTAATGAAATAATTTAAGTAATAATATTTAAATTTGAGACACATTTTCACTAAATTTTGCGATGCAAGATCTGAATGAAATTGTTCAGAAAACTTCAACAATGTCATTGTGACATTGTGTATACATTTCATATATATTAGCTTAATATTTGCGATATTGTTAAAACGCAGTATGAATGTTCCTTGATGTACGATAAATATTTTATAAATAAATTATGAAATTTAGATGAGTTCCAGAAATGATTATAGGCTTTTAGGTTGAATATATGACTAAGAATATATCAACACAAAATATAAAATAAGCAAATATTGATATAAATGTTAAGTTTATATTAATATTTAAGTTAATGTTAACATTCATGTTAATCACAAATTCCATTATCTATTTTCAGGTTAAATATCTACACCTTTTTTTCATCCTAACTTACACTACATCATATCCTCAATTCTCCCATATTCTGCAATGCAATATTTTTTGTACTTGCTTTCAGGTCGGTGTTTGGCAACAACATCATCAAATATTAAAATTTGATCGTCCAAATATAAAATAAAAATTTCAAAAAATTTCATGTTAATGTAAAGAGTAACATATATTGTTTCGATCCTTAAGAAAAGAGTTTCAACTGATGTAACCTCTCGTTCACGAAACGAACGAACTCTTGTAAATATTTTATAGTATAACCGTTTGCTGCCTTTTTGTTAGCTCTACCTTTATGAACCAGTCGGAAATAAATACTCGTACAGATCCCAAATAGTTGTGAAAATATGTAACATTTCTCCTGAAAATAGTTAAAATAACATACATTTCTACAGGATTATTATCTATACTATTTACCTTTAGCAACGACATCTTCAAACAGTTGGTTCAGATGCATAGAGAAGTTGGAATGTTTAAGAACATTTAGATTATTAAAAAAAAATCATATAATTTCTTAATTGTGGCTCACATGTGTTAATATATAGTCAACAGATGAATATAAACGTTTTAAATTCAAATTAATCTGTTAAAAAATATATTACAAGACATAGTATGATTTTTATATATACTTATAGTCTGAATCCAAAAAAGATTGTACTTTGCAAAGCTTAAATATTTCTGCTTAAGTTAAATATTAATCATAAATTGTCTTTTATTTTGTTTATTCCATAAGAACAGAATAACTGCCAGAGATCATTTAAGTCACTTGCATCCATATTACTGTATGTAAGACATTTAAGGATGCAATGCCTATTGCAGTATATTTCATATAAAAAAAAATACATTAAAATCACAATACCTTCTTGGTAATATATATATCTTAATAAAAATCTGTGTTAATCAAATATCACCTTCAAGTGTGACTTTTGACTTTCCAGTATAAAAGTATTCTTTTTCATTTAAGATCGCTTTCCATCCCTGATCGATTTTATTATACTTAAGTATCTTCATCGAAAATATTTAAATTATCTCTACTTTAGGTTTCTAATCAATTTTATGACTACTCAACCTATGCACTGTTTCATTTTATTAGCACAGATAGATGCTAATAGTTTAACAGTCTCCAAGAACGGCCAGGTCTATGTATCGGAGCCAGCGACAACTAAGTGCCGTTAAAAAACTCTCTAAGGAACTTCAGAAGCAGGTTCCAGCGGGTTACAACAACAACAACAGTAGAATTAACAAATTGGTGTAAATGTTTTGAAAAAAACTTTTTATTTAAATATATGTATGTTACTGTTGGACAGAAAAAATTTCGGATTAATAGAAATAAGAAAAGTATGTGATACGACTTTGTGCTATATAATATAGTACAATATAGTCTATAGTCTATAGTATAATATAGTCCTTATTGATATAAAAATTGTTAAGTATGCATGATTTAAAAGAAAGGTTTAAATAGACAATTTTATATGTTTTATCATAATAATCATTTAAAATATTTCCTGTTTATTGTTCAGCGATGGGTTATTCTTCACTATAAGGTTAATTTCGAAGATACCGAATTTTAAAAATGTTAATGAAGAAAGTAAAAAAAAAACATTAATTAAGACCGATCTCCAAATATTAAGCATACGAAGAAATGCATTACAAACATTGATACAAACTGAGAATTTGTGTCAGCTTATACTAAATTTATCCTACGCTGGCGTCATGAATCCAAAATTTAGTTATTATTTACCATTTCCCCTATTTTTATACCACTATATATCATCGAATGCATTATTTTCTATAAGGTACAACCAGTCAACAACTTAATAATATAGGATACAAACCTGCTCAATTTCTGGTGCTTTATTGAACGACATCATACGTGTCTCTTCAGTAATCCTGCTTTACAATTATGGTTACAATACCAATTATGGTTACAATAACGCCTGGCACTGAGTTCACTTCTAGTCAGCAATTACTACTGCATCCTCACTTCTTCCCCTCACTTGTTATGAATTTTAACTTAGATGTATATGTTGTCTAAGTGCTAAACATTCTCTATTCTAATCTCTACCTTTTCCTTAATTACTGGAATAGGGTTTAATTTCTTGACCTTTACAGTCCAATAACTGAAATTTGTCCAGTTCACATTTCTAAGAGGTAGTTTTTATGGATTTAAGTCTCACACTTTGACTTTCGATGCTATCCACTGCAAAAGAAAGGACGGGGCATCTAATTTCTTACAGCATATTTAATTGAGCTTTTAGGAGCTAAAACATTACTTCAGTCACCAGTTTTATAATAAATATTAAACTTTTATTTGCACCCATATATAATATATAGTCTTTATATAGTCTATATATAGTCCATATAGTCTAAGTAAAAATTAAAATTAAAAAAACTCAATGTATTAGTCATAAACTATATTGTTAAAAAAAATATGTGTAAACGGAGTGAGCACTTATAAAACCCATGAAGACATTCAGCTAAGTAATGCTTAAATGTCGATACTTTGGATCAATAAAATGGTAATCAATAGGAATTATTTTAGGTGTGCCTAAACTTTTTTGTTTAATAAATCGTGTTTTTTTCATCATTTCATTTAAAATAAAATTGATGGGTTATTTTGTTGTTTAAAGTTAATATAATACTTTTTTGTATGAAGTAATAAAGTAAAATATTATTAAATTAATTATTATTTAAAAATATATTAATTATTATTAAATTAATTATTATTTAACAATATTTTAATTATTATAATATTAATTATTATTTTATATTTTAATTAATATTAAATTAATTATCACTTAATAATATTTTTATTATTATTAAATTAAATATTATTTAACAATATGTATTTTAATTATTATTAAATTATTTATTATTTAAAAATATTTTAATTGTTATAAAATTATTTATTATTTAATAATATTTTAAGTATAATTAAATTAATAATTATTTAATAATATTTTAATTAATATTAAATTAATTATTATTTAATAATATTCAAATTATTATTAAAATAATTATTATTTAACAATATGTATTTTAATTATTATTTAAAAATATTTTAATTATTATAAAATAAATTATTATTTAACAATATGTATTTTAATTATTGTAAAATTAATTATTACTGAATAATATTTTAATTATTATTAAATGAATTGTTATCTAATAATATGTATTTTAGTTATTATTAAATTAATTATTATTTAACAATATGTATTAAGTAATGTGATATTTGTTTGTTTTAAATTGGTCATGAAATATTTTTTTTTGTTTTCAGTAAGACATAAAATACTTTTTTATATACCATAAGTAGCAATAATAACTTTATTCTAATTTTTGTATAAGCAAAGTTTGTAAATGGCGCTGTGCTCATACTTTTTAGATTCAGTGTTCTTTGTCTTGTGACAATAATACAAAATTCAGTTAACGTTATTTATGAATTCGAAACGAAACAAAATAAAAAATTAATTAATTTTATTCAATGGAGGGTACATAAATATGATATTGGAAAGCAAATATTTGAGAAGTACAACAAAAACAAAATTTAATATACTCCCACGAAGTTTCAATATAAACAAAAACAATATCAAAAATCCAAAGCCAAACAAAAGATAGAAAAAGCCGTTGGGCCAAATTGGAATAAGTAAAAGAGAACGAGAGCGAGAGCGTAACCAAATCGAGAAGAGCGCAGAGAGTTAAAAAAGTGCAATGTTTTGTATTATTTATATGTAAATATGTTTATTATTTAGTATGCAGTAATAGCAGAGATATGTACATATATAATTATGTATCTCTGGTAATACTATGATCTCTGGAGTTGTGTTATTCAAAGTTTGATTTGTTTTATTATTTTTTGTGTTTAATTCATTGGAATGGACGCCGATCTGACTTTGGTTAAAGCAGGAAATATTAAAACGCCGCAAAGCATAAATCCGCAGAAAAAAGTAAAAAAAAAGTCAGTCGTTTGAAACACAAGCAACTCCAAGGTATTGTATGCGTTGATACACAATACCTTGGAGTTATAAAAAATGTAACAACTGATACGGCGGTTGACGAACCCACATTGTTCCATATAACTACAGCACAAACAGTTTACACTACCTTCGTGCATAAAAACAATTACAACTACCGAAACGAATAGCTTTATAGTGTAATCACTGTTTTTTTATTGTATAATAAAAACTGCAACAATTTTGTTAGAAAAAAGGTTAAATCATTAAAAACAAAATTATTTCATTATAAAAAAGAAGTTTAAATGACTTGGATGTAAACAATGCGGGAATGGGGAGAGGAAGTGCATTTTGAATTGTTTTTGTTTTTTTTTTTAATAAACTTTACAATTTATTATGTTATTGAGAAGATTTGAAATGTGTGAATTTAACTCTTCTGACCTGTTCCGACAACTGTTGGCGACGTAGTCATTTCCGATCGTGTCCTTTGCTGCCTGTGATGCGTTATACGTGGAGATTGCAATCCATTCGGAGTTGTCCGAGCATCCGTTTGCAGCATCACATTATTAGAAATAAATTCTTTGCTTACACACTTTTCTTCTTGCATTGTAAATTCTGCATTCTTATTTTATCTTAGTAAACTTTTTACACTAATTTCAAAACTTAAGAAATCATTTGTTTTTTTTCCCCCAATTCAACGTATTTTTATCATTAGCGTCACCCAACCGTTCTATTCCGGCGTCTCCTACATATACAACGTTACTGATTTATGACTGGAAATTTGTAAAAGCTGCGGCTCACAAGTTTCATTGCTACAGCAACATCAGCACAGTGATGAGCCTGTACTTGAGCAATCGACGGCGAAATAGGTGAAGATAAATAGAGTTCTGCTCTTTTTGTGATCAACACTAACATTAAATGCCCTACAGACGGTCAGATTTTGATATAATATATGACTACACATAAGATATGTTTATGCATTATTAGGGCTGTGTGCGAGTTCGAGTAAATTGAGGGAAATTGTATATTATCTCGGTATGGCAACGAATGTTGGTATTTACCAGAATTTCGATTGGGGTAAATTAGATAAAAATTATGTAAATTAGATGTTACCATTGTGAAAATTTTATAAAATGTTTAATAAAAAAAACTGAAGACTTTTAACCAAAAATAATAAATAAGTGCAATAAATAAATAAATAAATACAGTCAAACTTCCATAACTCGAACCAAAAACAGTGCACCAAGGTTTTAGAGAGCAAATTATACACAATTCTGCTTCCATAACTCGAACTTCTATAACTCGAATTTCTCTATAATTCGAACAAAAGTTTTTTCCCCTACCAATAGGAATATGGGAAAGTGCATTCTATAAGTCGAATTTTTGTTTTAAGTATAAATGCATTTTGCTGTTAGGGGAAGTCCCCTTTTCCAAACCAAATGCTTAATTTTTTTCTTTCTTATGTTGCTTCTTTGTGCAAATGCCAATCGCTGGCAGTGTGGTTTAAAGTAAATTATTAAGCACTATTAATATTATTAAGCACTATTAATATTATTAAGCACTATAGCTCTAAATTACTGGTTTCAATTCTAAGCGCAACGGAAAGTGATAATGAGGGTTCGGCGGATGTAATTGTTTATCAACCTTCCAAGAATGAAGTAGAAGACTCCATCAATTTTCAGTGTAAGGCTTTAAATAAAATTCAATACCTTTTGAATGAAAATAACAAAAAAAAATTAAAATTCCAAAACAAATTTCTAATTATTTTACTTTACTATAACTTCTATGCTGTATTTGATTTTAAATAAATAAATAAATATCTTAAAATATAATTCTAGTTTCTTTCAAAAATAAAAAAAAAATAAAGAAATTCTCTAACTCGAAGTCTCCATAAGTCGAACCTTTTCTTTGCAAAATTGGACTTCAAGTTATGGAAGTTTGGCTGTAATTTTATTTTGCTTTCATCAAATACCTTATTACCTATTTAAAGAAAGCATAAGCTTTCTATTAGGGAATGAATTATTATTTTGAACTTTAGTCAACACATTTATATTAATGCCATAAATGATTCAAAAGAATCTTCAACACTCTAACAAAGCATAGAATCTATCTTATATATCTATCTCATGTTACTAACGGAACTCAATAGTGAAACAATTTGAAGCATTAATATGCTATATTTAAGCATTTTGGTAATGTATTTACCACATCGAGTTCTAAGTTTTATTTTGTAATGTAGTATTTTTTGTGACCCAGTTAACCCAGTAAGGTGAAAAAGGTATTGGATCAAAACAAAAAACATATAATTCTATTTTACTTTTACCAAATAACTTATTAACTATTTAAGGAAAGCATAAGCTTTCTATTAGGGAACGAATTATTATTTTGAACTTTAGTCAACACATTTATATTAATGCAATAAATGATTCAAAAGAATCTTCAACACTCTAACAAAACATAGAATCTATCTTATATATCTATCTCATGTTACTAACGGAACTCAATAGTGAAACAATTTGAAGCATTAATATGCTATATTTAAGCACTTTGGTAATGTATTTACCACATCGAGTTCTAAGTTTTATTTTGTAATGTAGTATTTTTTGTGACCCAGTTAACCCAGTAAGGTGAAAAAGGTATTGGATCAAAACAAAAAACATATAATTCTATTTTACTTTTACCAAATAACTTATTAACTATTTAAGGAAAGCATAAGCTTTCTATTAGGGAACGAATTATTATTTTGAACTTTAGTCAACACATTTATATTAATGCTATAAATGATTCAAAAGAATCTTCAACACTCTAACAAAGCATAGAATCTATCTTATATATCTATCTTATGTTACTAACGGAACTCAATAGTGAAACAATTTGAAGCATTAATATGCTATATTTAAGCACTTTGGTAATATATATATCACATCGAGTTCTAAGTTTTATTTTGTAATGTAGTATTTTTTGTGACCCAGTTAACCCAGTAAGGTGAAAAAGGTATTGGATCAAAACAAAAAACATATAATTCTATTTTACTTTTACCAAATAACTTATTAACTATTTAAGGAAAGCATAAGCTTTCTATTAGGGAACGAATTATTATTTTGAACTTTAGTCAACACATTTATATTAATGCTATAAATGATTCAAAAGAATCTTCAACACTCTAACAAAACATAGAATCTATCTTATATATCTATCTCATGTTACTAACGGAACTCAATAGTGAAACAATTTGAAGCATTAATATGCTATATTTAAGCATTTTGGTAATGTATTTACCACATCGAGTTCTAAGTTTTATTTTGTAATGTAGTATTTTTTGTGACCCAGTTAACCCAGTAAGGTGAAAAAGGTATTGGATCAAAACAAAAAACATATAATTCTATTTTACTTTTACCAAATAACTTATTAACTATTTAAGGAAAGCATAAGCTTTCTATTAGGGAACGAATTATTATTTTGAACTTTAGTCAACACATTTATATTAATGCTATAAATGATTCAAAAGAATCTTCAACACTCTAACAAAACATAGAATCTATCTTATATATCTATCTCATGTTACTAACGGAACTCAATAGTGAAACAATTTGAAGCATTAATATGCTATATTTAAGCATTTTGGTAATGTATTTACCACATCGAGTTCTAAGTTTTATTTTGTAATGTAGTATTTTTTGTGACCCAGTTAACCCAGTAAGGTGGAAAATGTATTGGATCAAAACAAAAAACATATAATTCTATTTTACTTTTACCAAATAACTTATTAACTATTTAGAAAGCATAAGCTTTCTATTAGGGAACGAATTATTATTTTGAACTTTAGTCAACACATTTATATTAATGCTATAAATGATTCAAAAGAACCTTCAACACTCTAACAAAGCATATAATCTATCTTATATATCTATCTTATGTTACTAACAGAACGCAATAGTGAAATAATTTGAAGCATTAATATGCTATATTTAAGCACTTTGGTAATAGGACACATCGCGAAGAAAATTTAATGTGATGTATGTGGTATTACGAACAATAAGTTCGTACTTATTACAGTTGTGGACAGTGATGACAATGCGCCTACACATAATCAATTCCGTGGTCGCAAACCAAAACGCATGCCTAAGAAAAATTAAATCCTTTTTACTTTTACTTAAATCGTTGATCAAACTTCAAAATTGGATGCAAAAATAAGAGTCACATTACTTAGGCAAAGCATGTCTCCAATAATTATTTCAAAATGTCTGACCGTCTGTAGGGTACTTTAAGGTTTATTCAAAGAGCGTAAATGCTTTTAAGATAGAAACACATTCAGCCGGAGATGCCAAAATCTACTCACGAGAAATATATTAGCAAAGCTGCACTGATGGGTGACAAAATAAAAACATGATCAAAACAAATAACAAAAACATTGTTATTAAATTTTAAAAATTCAAATATGACAACAAGAGTAACCGAAGTTTTGTTATTAAATTTCAAATCATGTGTATGATTTGTGGTTATTGTTTTACTTTTAATAACAACAGTTCACAGATCATAACAAAAATTCATGAATGGAGGTAGATATTTATTTATTGCTTTCAATAACCGGAGCAATGCAAAAATAACTAATGTATATGTATGGGTTGTCTTGGCCACTGAAAATTCTATATAAATTTTTTTATTGCCTTTCATTTTATATGCAAATGCAAGAATCAGTTCCAATTTATGTTCTAACTGTTAGTATAATCAAAATCTTATACTTTTTATACCGATAGACTTTTTTAATAACGCAACTTACTTTAAGACTAGTGCAGTCTTGCAAACTTGACTGTCAGTTTATATTCAAGTATGTTCGTAGTCAAAATTTGTCATTCAAGCAAAATTTTGACAACAAAGTTGCATTCACAACATATTGACGACCCGCGCCCAATTGTCTTATTGTAGCGCAAAGTACTGTCATATTTTTGATTATCTCGGCGAGGTAAGGAGAAAAAGTATTGCTCCAACAACAGTGCTAACCTGCGACTTATTGTGGTAGTCTATAGTTTATGGTGATAGTTTGAATGAGAAACATATACATACAGTCGGAGTCATAAGTCTACAAGTCTACAAACTTTGAAAATTATTTCCAATAAAATGAGTTTTTTGGAAAAAATGTTTAAATTAAGTTTTTTTTACTGCCTGCTTGTAGACATATGATTTCGACTGTATATAAAACGCATATGCATCTATGTTTTGGAGCATTATAAAGTATTATTCTGTCAGATTTTTTAGCAGTTGGTCGTGAGCTATGATGTACTCACAAAAATTATGGCATTGAATGTCATTCAAGCGTGTAGAGTTGCAATTTGGCTCACAGCCATGGTAATTCCTCTCTTGACATCAGTCAAGTATTTACTGTAAGTCTGCAACAGGAATGGCAAACATACACATAAATCCACATACATTCATATGTACTTATATACATACATATGTACATATATACATACATATGTATAATAAGGATAATATATACTTTTATATCTGCACCCAAACCAAAACTTTTTTATTTCAATACCATCAAATTGATTCCCTTTAAAATTGATTCCCTCAATTTAGTGATAAACGAAAAAACAAAAATAAGTTCAATGAATAATTTTAATACATGTATATATTAATATAAACTTGTTACTCATTTTAATTATTATTTTGAACTTCCATTATATAATTGAATTTTTATTATACACAAATATATCTGCACATGCACATACATATATTAAATATTTAGGGCTGGAT